CTTATCTCCCTACCTCATAATTTGCACCAAAATAAGTTCCATGGAGATCAAAAATTCAAATGAGGGAAAAACTAACCCTCAGAAGAAAGCAAATGAGGCTATTTTATAACTGTGGAGTGGAGACAATGCCCTAAGTATGACATAAAACCCAAAAGTCATGAATAAAAATATTGATAAATTCAACTATGTAGAAATTTTTTTCTTTTTTATTCTTTTCTTTTTCTTTTCTAGGAAGATTAGCCCTGAGCTAACATCTGTGCCCATCTTCCTCTACTTTAATATGTGGGACACCTGCCACAGCATGGCTTGTCAAGCAGTGTGTAGGTCCGCACCTGGGATCTGAACCGGTGAACCCTAGGCCACCGAAGTAGAACGTGCAAACTTAATCACTGCACCACCGGGCTGGCCCCTAGGATTTTTTTTCTTAATTCTGCAGATCAAAAACCATCATGGTTGTCTCCTGAGAGTGAGAATGAGGGTCAGAGATGAAGAGAAAATGTGACATAGTCACTCAGGTAATGGGAGATGGTATTTAAGGATTTATCTCAGATAAGAAACAGTAAATCCGTAAAAGCCTCATTGCACGATTGTGTTTTTCCCCAGCAGTATCCAACCACACAGGTTTAGAAACCTTTAGGACTTGTTGGCTAGGAGCTGGGTTCAGCTGCTAGCACCAGAGACCAGAAGTAATGGTGGCTTACACAAGACTGAGTTTATTTTTTCCCCTCATATAAAAGCATCTGGAGGCAGACAGCAGAGGCCACTGTCCCTAGGCACTCAGGCTCCTACCTTTCTGCTCACTGTTCTAGATACTGGCTTCCATCCTGAAGGTGGCCTCATGGTCCAAGATTGCTGCTAGGACTCTAGCCTTTATTTCTGAATTCCAGGCAGAAAACAGGATGAAGGAAAGGACCAAAAAACTATGCCCCAGCTGTGTGTCCTCCTTTAAAAGAGCCTTCCTGAAAGTCCTACCCATAACTTCCCCTTGTATCTTACTGGCTAGAAGGTAGTCACATGTCCCACATCTATCTGTAGGGAAGCACACTGCCACTCCAAATAAAATCCAGATTCTGTGACTGAGTAAAAAGTGAGTGGATTTTGGGTAAGCAAATGGCATTCTTGCCGTGGGACACATCCAGGATTGGAGATTTGTCAGCTAGGTGTGGCCTAAGGACAGGGGAACACAGGAGGCCAAGGAGCTAGTGAGAGCAGGGATGGAGAGTGGAGGGTTCAGCAGGGAGCTTGGATAACCTGGAAGAGAGCAGATTATCAAGGGACAAGAGTTCAGTGAGGTCAAAGCACAGGTATGGCAGAGAGAGAGTTGGAAGGACAGGAAGTTGTAGCATAAAAATGATACCAGCACTGGGGCCGGCCCAGTGGTGTAGTAATTAGTTCACGTGCTCCACTTCGGCAGCCCAGGGTTCACCTGTTCAGATCCTGGGCGCAAACCTATACATCATCAAGCCATGCTGTGGCGGCATCCCACATAGAAGAACTAGAATGACTTACAACTGGGATATATGACTATGTACTGGGGCTTTGGGGAGAAAAGAAAAAGACGGAATTGGCAACAGATGTTAGCTCAGGGCCAATCTTCTGCACCAAAAAAAAAAAAAGAAATGGAGGATTTGTGCCTGGATCTTAAATAAAAGGTAAAATGATACCAGCACTTATTATTTCAGAGTTCTCAGTCCCAGTGATTAAAAACAAAGTGCAGGGTATGGCTGAGTGGAGTGGAGGTCGCTGGAGTTGGGGGCCCCAGTGTGTTCAGAGGGTTGTCCCTGTAGATGATGAGATCTCCTAGGATGGTGATGGGTGGTGGAGAGGAGGTCTGTGGACCAGGGGCCAACTCCCTGGGAAATCCTGTAGAGAGACTTGAGGAGGATGTCAGGGTCGAGGGCATGGGGAGACAGCAGAGGGTCAGTGGAAGAGGATGGAGAGGAACGGGCTGCAGTGCAAACATGGATTCCAGTCATGAGGTTCACAAGGTGGGAGAGAGAAACAGCCACCACTCAGAAGGAAAGCACAAGAAGCTGGTTTGTCAGGGCAGGAGGGAGGGGTAGTGCCTGTGACAAGAGGAGGGAAGGAGAGGGCTGGATTGGCCAGGGCTCAGCAGTGGAAGGAACAGGCTGGGGGATGCACGGGGAGTCCAAGGAAGGGAGAAGGAAGCAGAGGGAAAGGTTGGGAGAGAGGGCAGGGTGAAGCAGGCACAGGGTGTAGAGAAGAGCTACTCTCCTGATGTGGTGCTGGGGACAATGGCAGGACAGATGTGGGCGCGGAGTCCCAGGCCCTTCCCAGAGGGGTTTCAGCAGAGCTGCTCACTGCTCCGGTCTCTCCAAGGATGGGCTCAGAGTAGGACGGAGCAGAGAAGGCAGTAGGAGAGATGCCGTCCGTGGATGGCACACTGACACCCTGTTTGTCCCCCTACAGGTCTGCGGACTAAAGCCAGAACCCCAGCCAGGTGAGTGCTTGTCCTCCAAGGTGGGGCGGGGTGGGCAGGGGGCACTGGTTTGGGAAACAGGGAGTTTCCTATGAGAACAGCAGGAGTGAGCCTTTCACAGCTGCTCCCATCCTGACTCTCCAGTCTGCATCCTCAGGTGTCCCCAACAGGCCAGCCCCTTCACTTCCTGAGGCTCTGTCTCCTAAAAAAAAAAACAAAAAACAAAAACAAAAGCCTGAGAACAGTGGACCGAAGGGTTCCAGCACTTTCTCTGATTCTTTCCCAGAATGGCAGAATGCTTCCCCCTCATCTTTCTCTGGTGCCCCCTTTCCTCTGCCTTTCGTCCCCATTTCTGTTTGTCCTTCTGTGCCTCCTGGTTTCTCTCCACGTTGAACACCATGCTTCCCAAACACCTCCACCTCTTCCACGTTCTTCCTCTTTCTGCTCGTCATCCAGTCTGTCCTTTCCCTGTGACCTGGGTGAAGGGCCACAGATCCTCTGCCTCCAGCTCCTCCGCTGCTGTCTTTTCTCAGAGCAGCTTCCCTCCTCAGCTCCCAGCCTCGCCTCCTCTCCTCTCGCCGCCGGGCTCCCCTTCCTTTCTCAGCCCTGGTCCTTCACACCCTCCAACCTCCTCCTCTTCTCCAGCCTCTCTTCCCATTCCCACACTCTCCTTTCCCACAGACCGCTCCCTCTTCCCTGTGCCTCCCCCACTCTTGCCACTTGCCTTCCTCTGGTGTCTATCCCGTGTTGTTCCCTCCCCTCCACCCTTTCCCACCCCCCCCCCCAACCTTGGCGTCTCCTCCCGGGACCAGGGCCTGAGCACCCACCCAGAGGACCTGAGATTAGCTTTGCTGCTTTTCATTCTCCAGATTTTAGGGCGGCAGTGCCAGCAGCGAGGACAGGAGCTCAGCCTGAGGATTTCTCTCTGCCCCTTCAATAAAAGCCATGTTACTAGAACAATCCCCCTTCAGTGGGCACTCGGCGACCTCTGCTGGGCTACGCTGAAAATTGCTTCTCAGTCCTCTTCCCGGCAGCCTCCTTCTGACCCTACACCACTGCATTCATCTTCTGAGCCTCTCCAGGCAGGTCGCAGAGCCCCCAACAAAGAGAACCACCAGATGCGGGTTTTAACTCTTTCCTGCCCTGCCTCTAACACATTTTCTGCCCTCTTGTTCCCATGCAGGGGATCCTTCCAGAACACTGAGGAGAAGTACGAGAATATTGGGAATAAAGAGGAGAAGTACGAGAATATTGGGAATAAAGGTAAGTCCTACCACCATCACTGTCCACTGTCCACCAGTCTTCCTTCTTCCCCACACACTCCCTACCCACACAGGTGCCCCAGTATTCTCCTCTTTCCTCACCCACCATCCCACACGACCCTGGTCCTAACCTAGCAGATAACCTCAGTACTGCAGCCCCCTGCCCATTTCTCTACCCTGGATGCCTTGCCACCTGACCCCAGCACATCTTGATTTTTTCTAGGACAATATACAGACCCCAAGCTGGACCCCAAGGTAAGGAGCTCAGACTAGGGCCAGAAAGAATTAAAAGGAAGCTTGGAGAAGGTGGGGTGGAAGGAATAGAGGGATGTGGTATCGACGGGGCACTCAGGTCTGGGATAGTTGCTCTCAGATGGAGACAGCTCCCCCTCCACTGACTAATCCCCTTCTCTTTTGCTGCCCAGGATGACGGCATCCACTACGCCTCCCTTGCCCTCTCCAGCTCGACCTCACCAGCAGCACCTCCCTGCCCCCCTCCCCATGGGAGCCCCCAGGAAGAGACCCTATACTCTACCTTGAAGGCCTAAGGAGCAGACTGAGGGACGACTTCCTTAGAGTAAGCTGTGCAGAGGGTCTCAGCTTCCAATAATAACCCGGGCCACACACACACGACTCAGAAGCCAGCAGGTGTTGAAGGCCACCATGGAGCTGAGACAGAGCCATCTGCTCCAGTTCCCTCTTCAACTTCCTAGCCTTGCCCACCAAAATAAAAGTACCCAGAGAATTTGCCTGAATGCATCTAAGGAGAAAACTGACGTCCGCTTCACCTTCTGTCCTTCTCGCCGACAATGAATTCTAATCGAGCGCTCACAGCCAAGATCCCTCCTCCAGTACTTTTGTTCAGTGACCACCTCAGGCCAGGGAACAATAATCCCCAAACACTGTAGCCAGCCTGGAACTCAACGACTGCCCCCAGTCGAACCATTCTCCTTCCCTAAGGAAAATAAGTAGCAGGTATCGTGTAAGTGCTTCACAAGCATCACTTCATTTAAACATCATCAACGACCCTATCTGGTATTAGATGTACTCACTTGAAGCATGAAAACAAGAACCAGAATGGCCACAGTGCTTTTCCTAAGGCCACATAGCTAGTAAGTGACTGAGCCAGGATTTGAACCCAGTCTCGATGTCCTTCTCCCAGGACTCAGGGGTCACTGCCTTCCCAGCTTCCCATACTGAGCAGGCCTCCCCCCAGAAACAATGATGTGACATGGTGACATGGAGGAGGAGGGAGCGAAGCCAAAAGGAAGCACCTGGTTAGAGATGAACCAAACCAATTAAAACAATAACCCGTTTTATTAACACATAAACTGCACAACTCCAAATTTGGCCAATTAACCTTGGGGCCAATGAACAGCCCCAACACTTATCAGCTTCTCAGGGGCCCTCTGAGAGGCTGTCCCTCCTGCTCCCAGGGAAGGAGGGTGAGACAGCAGGAAGGAGAAAAGAGCACACAACTATTCCTCAAAGAAGGCCATGATGAGCTCCTCTGCGTCGTCTCTATGCGGCAGCTCCTCCCTCTGCTCCCGCTCTTTTCCAACATCTTCCATGAGTTGGTCCAGGTCCAGGTCACTGGAGGCTTCATCGTCAGAGAGGAAATTTCCAGCCTCCTGACATGGTGGCTCCTGGGGTCCAGGCCCTTCTTTCCCCACCGCAGGACAGGCCCTGCAATGAGCTGGTGGGATCAGGCCCTTTGGCACCATTCTAGCTTCTTGTTCCTCAGATGAGCTGGTTACTGAGGCCTTGCTTTGAGGAGCTTTAAATTTTTTCTTAGGGCCTAAGTGAAAAAGTGACAAAGCTGAGATTCCTATTAGGTCATCTGTTCTTACCTTTCACAAAGCAAACTCCTAAATTTCTATTTCCAAAAAATCTCTGGAAATGATGACCTTTTTCAGTCAAAAGAACCTGGACCTTGGAGTCAGAAAGACCTGGATTCAAGCCATGGGTCACATAGGCTAGACTTAGGTCTTAAGCAAATTTTAAACCCTTTGAGCTTCAGTCTCCTCATCTTTAAAGTGGCAAATATCCAGTCACAGAGATATTGAAAGAATTAAAGGGAATAAGTATGGGAGTGTCTATCTACCAGTCCACAGCAACACATACTATATGTATGTTCCCGCCTCCTTACCATTCTCCTGTCCCTGGATCAAATTAAATCAATAACCATTATGTTTCTACAGTGTGTGCTGTGTTCTACAATCTGAAAGATGCCCTTTTGGCTTAATTTTTGGGTTTTTTTTAACATAATGAAAAGCTGTAGAATTGGTAAATGATGTAGGGAGAGGAGACACAGACATGCACCTCAGTTCCCCATAGCTTTTCCCCAGCCCAAGCCTCACCTGGCTGGTCGGGGTCTGAATTCCCATGCCCTTCTTTCCTTCCCGTTATGGGTACAGGAGGAGCTTTGGACTCATTTCCCAGAGGTCTTTTCATTGTCTTCCTTTGCAGAGTCCCATCTCGTCCATCTGCTTTGCCTACATCACCCCCACGCATGGAGGACATTTGATTATTTCTCTCTAAATGACAGTCTGACATGGGTCCACAGACCCTCCTCCCCTCCACATTCAGTCTCTGCCCTGCGTCTGCTCATTCTCAGTCTAGTGAGTTCTTTCAGTTCCTTTCTTTTTCCCAAATATTTCTTTTCCCCCTAGATCTTCTCTTTACAATTCTCAGAGTCTCCAGGAAGTCATCCTTCTTGGCTAAGAATTTAAAATACTCATTCTGCCTTTAACCTGAGATTTTATAATTCAATACATGGAAGCAAGGAGGCCATAGCTTCCCCATTGATGCTAGCATGAATCCTGCCCATTTTCCAGGTTCTGGAGCTGAGACAGTCAGTAAGGTCTGGCTGCCTGGAGACCCCTTCCACTTTCTGCCTCTGCCCTGCCTTAACTGTAGCACAGGACCCGTTTCCAGCTGGCTTGCTTACCTCTTGCCTTGGGTTTTTTTGTCTGAACTTTGGTTGGCTTGGGACTGGGCATAGTTGGGTCCTGAGAATGGGAGAGAACAATAAGAAAATATAAATGAAGTCACATAATTGTGTTTTTAACACAGTGGGATACTACAGACATGACAGGTGCACTTAAGGGAGTCAAATTAGGTTCAAATTAGTCAAAACAGTGAGCCTGATATTGTTTAATTCAATGACAACAAAGAGAAAAATGTTCATCTTTCCCATTCGACTTGATATTAGTCAATGCAAGGGTTTATGCACAAGAGAAGAAAATAAAGGTAGGCCACAAACATGATAAAAATTGGTAAATTAAAAATTAAAAGAGAAAGTGAAAAAAATCTATATTTCAGGACTTCCAGTTTACAGTTCTACATGTAAGGAGCTTGGAAGTCACCATTCTGTTCTAACAACAACTAAAAAGCTGAATAGACTGAAAAATCGATAGCTCTTCTTGGATTCCTAAGAGAGGTGAGACACAAGGGAAACTGTTGTCCTCAAGACTGAAGAGACAGAGAGGCAAAGACAGGGAGTCCTGGCTCACCAGAGCCTAGACTCATAAGCAGAAATCACCATGAGAACCAGTGCCAGACAGCAAAACCTCAACAGCAGTAAATGAATTGCTCAGAGCAGACAAGTCTGAGAGTTAAAAACTCTAGGGGGACCCAGTCACGGAGGGCTCCCAAACTTTTGTGAGTTTTACCTCCAGGAGCCCAACTAGATTCTCACAGAAAATATCAGAGAAAAATCCCTTCATGCTTCCAGCAAGGGGAGGGGAAAAGGAAACATTTGGGAATATATCAGAGCACTTTATCCTGCCCTCAGAAGTTAACCAGAGCCTAACTGTCCTAGAGGAAGGGAAAAACCCACTCCAGCCCACTCTAATTATCCTGTCCCAGCTAAGGGGAGAGAAAAAAAAAAACAAGAAACACTTGTGAAGTGCACAGTCCAGAGACACAGGTTCATTAAAAGACTGAGACCCAATCATAGGACTATAGAACACTTCCCCTCCCCCAACACCTAACCACTCCATTACTAAAGGCATATTTACAACAGTTCCTTTTACCTGATACATTATATCTGGCAGTCAAGAAAAAACTATAAGGATATAAAAAGGCAAAAAAACACAATTTGAAGAGACAAAGCAAGTATCAAAAACAAACACGGCATGGAATTATCAGACTGGAAATTTAAAGTAAATATGACTAATATGCAAAGGGCTCTCATGGATTAAGTAGTCAGTGTGTAAGAACAGATGGGCAATGTAAGCAAAGAGATGCAAATCCTAAGAAAGATTCAAAGGAAATTTTAGAGATCAGAAACACTGTAACAGAAACGAAGAATGCCTTTAATGGGCTTATTAGTAGATTGGACATGGCTAAGGAAAGAATCTCTGAGCTTGAGGATATCTCAACAGAAACCTTCAAAACTGAAAAGCAAAGAGAACAAAGACTAAAAAAAGAGAACAAAATATCCAAGGATTGTTGGACAACTACAAAATGTGTAACATACACATAATGGGAATGCCAGGAGAAGAAAAACAGAAAGAAACCAAAGAAATACTGAAAACAACAATGACAGAGAATTTCCCCAAATTAATGCCAGGCACCAAACCACAGATCCAGGAAGCTCAGCAAACACCAAGAAGGATAAATACTAAACAACTACACCTAGGCATATCATTTTCAAACTACAAAAAATCAAAGATAAAGTTCTAAAAGAAGCTAAAGGAAGACAACACCTTACCTGATATGCCATGGAAGGAGAGAAAATGGAATCATATAGAATTCTCAATTAAATTCACAAAAGGCAGAAAAAGAGTGCAAGTCGAAAATAGGAAGAAAGAACAAGAGCAACAAACAGAAAACAGTAACAAATATTGCAGATATTATCCAACTATAATAATAATTATTTTGAATGTCAACAGCCTAAATGCACCAATTAAAAGACAAAGATTTCAGAGTGGATCAAAAAACAAGACCCAACTATACATTGTCTACAAGAAACCCACTTTAAACATAAAGATTCATATAAAGTAAACAGATGAAGAAAAACATACCATACTAACACTAATCAAAAGAAAGAAGGAGTAGCTATATTAATGTCAGACAAAGAGGACTTCAAAGTAAGGCAAGTCCTTAGGGATAAAGAAGGGCATTATATAATGATAAACGGGTCAATTCTCCAAGAAGAAATAACAATCCTTAAAGCATACGTGCCAAAAAACAGAGCACCAAACTATGTGAAGCAAAAACTGACAGAACTGCCAAGAGAAATAGTTGAATCCAATATCATAGTTGGAGACTTCAACACTCTTCTCTCAGAAATGGACAGATCCAACAGGCAGAAAATCAGCAAGGACATAGTTGAACTCAACAACACCATCAATCAACTAGATACAATAGACATCTATAAACTATTTCACCCAACTGTTGTTGGTGAATATACATTCCTCTCAAGCTCATGTGGAGCATTCACCAAAACTGACCACATTCTGGGCCATAAAATACAACTTAACAAATTTAATATATTGAAATCATACAATGTCTGCTCTCACACCACAATGGAATTAAACTAGAAGTCAATAACATACAGACAACTGGAAAATCCCAAAAGACATGGAGATCAAACAACACACTTCTAAATAATACATGAGTCAAAGAAGAAATCTCAGGAGACATTTTAAAATATATTGAACTAAATGAAAATGAAAACACAACTAATCAAAATTTGTGGGATGCACAGTGCTTAGAGGGAAACTTATAGCAGTAAATGCATATATTAGAAAAGAAGAAAGATCTAACATCAATAATCTAAGTTTCAATCTTAGGAAACTAGAAAAAGAAGAGCAAATTAAATCCAAAGTAAGCAGAAGAGAAGAAATAATAAGAATTAGAGCAAAAATCAATGAAACTGAAAACAGGAAAGCAGTAGAGGAAATCAATGAAACTAAAAGCTGGTTCTTCGAAAAGATCAATAAAATTGATAAGCCTCTAGCCAGGCTAACTAAGAAAAAAAGAGAGGGGAGACAGATTACTAATATCAGAAATTAAAGAAGGGATATCACTACAGATCCCATGGACATTAACAGGATAATAAAGGAATACTATGAACAACTGTATGCCCACAAATTTGCTAACGGAGATGAAATACACCGATTCCTTAAAAGACACAATCTGCCAAAACTTACACAAGAAGAAATAGATAATCTAAATAGGCCTATGTTTATTAAAGACATTGAATCAATAACTAATAACCTTCCAAACAAAAAAGAACCAGGCCCAGATGGGTTCACTGGTGAATTCTACCAAACATCTACAGAAAAAAATATACCAATTCTCTATAATCTCTTTCAGAGGATAGAAGCAGAGAGAATACTTCCTAACCTGTTATATGAGGCCAGCATTGCCCCAATACCAAAACCAGACAAAGACACTACAAGAAAGGAAAACTATAGACTAATATCTCTTATGAACAGAGATGCAAAAATCCTCAACAAAATATTAGCAAATAGAATCCAACAAAGCACAAAAAGAATTATACACCATGAACAAGCAGATTTATGCAAGGCTGCTTCAACATTCAAAAATCAATTAACATAATCCATCACATCAACAGGCTAAAAAAGAAAAATCACATGATCATATCAATAGATGTGGAAAAAGATTTGACAAAATCCAACACCCATTCACGTAAAAACTCTCAGTAAACTAGGAATAGAGAGGAACTTTCTCAACTTGATAAAGAGTATCTACAAAAAAACCTACAACTAACATCATACTTAAAGGTGAGAACTAGAAGCTTTCCCACTAAGATGAGGAACAAGCCAAGTGTGTCCCCTCTCACCACTCTTTTTCAACATCATATTGGAAGTTCTAGCTAATGCAATAAGACAAAAGGAAATAAAAAGTATAGAAATTGCAAAGGAAGAAATAAAACTGTCTTTATCTACAGATGACATGATTGTCTATGTAGAAAATCTAAAAGAATCAACAAAAAAACAGCAACTAATAAGTGCTTATAGCAAGGTTGCAGGATACAAGGTTAATATCCAAAAGTCAATCGCTTTCCTATATACTAGCAATGAACAAGTGGAATTTGATATTAAAAACATAATACCACTGGGGCCGGCCCTGTGGTGCAGCAGTCAAGTTCGTATGTTCTGCTTCCCAGCAGCCCAGGGTTCACCGGTTCGGATCCCGGGTGCAGACATGGCACCACTTGGCACACCATCTGTGGTAGGCATCCCACGTATAAAGTAGAGGAAGATGGGCATGGATATTAGCTCAGGGCCAGTCTTCATCAGCAAAAAAGAGGAGGATTGGCAGTAGTTAGCTCAGGGCTAATCTTCCTCAAAAAAAAAAAAAAACATAATACCACTTATAGTAGCACCAAAAAAAAGGCTTAGGTATAAATCTAACAAAATATGTACAAGACCTGTATGAGGAAAACTACAAAACTCTGATGAATTAAATCAAAGAATTAAATAAGTGGAGAGAGAGTCCATGTTTGTGGATAGGAAGACTCAATATTGTCAAGATGTCAGTTTTTCCCAACTTGATCTATAGAGTCAATGCAATTCTAATCCAAATCCCAGCAAGTTATTTTGTAGATATTGACAAACTTATCCTAAAGTTTATATGCAGGGGCAAAATACCCAGAATAGCCAACACAATATTGAAGGAGAAGAACAAAATTGGAGGACTGACCCTAGCTGACTTCAAGACTTACTGTAAAGCTACAGTAATCAAGACACTGTGGTATTGGCAAAAGAATAGACAAATAGATCAATGGAAAAGAACAGAGAGCCCAGAAATAGATCCACATAAATACAGTCAGCTGATCTTTGACAAAGGAGCAAAAGCAATACAATGGAGCAAAGATAGTCTTTTCAACAAATAGTGCTGGAACTGGATGTCCACATGTAAAAACATGAATCTAGACACAGACTTTACACTTCTCTCAAAAATTAACTCAAAATGAAAATATTTGCAAATAATATCTCCAATAAAGGGTTAATTTTCAAAATACATAAATAACTCATAAAACTCAACAAGAAAAAAACAAATAGGCAGAGGAAGGGCCAGTCCCATGGCCTAGTGGTTAAGCTCGGCATGCTCTGCTTCAGCAGCCTAGGTTCACAGGTTTGGATCTCAGGCATGGACCTACACCACTCATCAGCCATGCTGTGGCAGCAACCCACATATAAAATAGAGGAAGGTTGGCACAGATTTCAGCTCAGGGCTAATCTTCCTCAGGAAAAAAAAAATAGGCAGAGGATATGAGCAGACATTTTTCCAGAGAAGATATACAGATGGCCAACAGGTACATGAAAAGATGTCCAACATCACTAATTATTAGGGAAATGCAAATCAAAATCACAATGAGATATCACCTTACACCTGTCAGAATGGCTTTAATAAACAAGACAAGAAATAAATGTTGGAGAGGATGTGGAGAAAAGGGAACCCTCATGCACTGCTGGTGGAAAAGCAAACTAGTATGGCCACTGTGGAAAACAGTATGGATATTTCTCAAAAAATTAAAAATAGAAATACCATATAATCCAGCTATCCCATTACTGGGTATTTATCCAAAGAATATGAAATAATACGAAGAGATTTATGCATCCCTATGTTCATCACAGCATTATTCACAATAGCCAAGACTTGGAAGCAACCCAAGTGCCCATCAACTGATGAAAGGATAAAGAAGATGTGATATATATATATATACAATGGAATACTACTCAGCCATAAAAAAGACAAAATTGTGCCATTTGCAACAACATGGATGGACCTTGAGGGTATTATGCTAAGTGAAATAAGCCAGACAGAAAAGACATATGTGATTTCACTCATATGTGGAAGATAAACAAACACATGGATAAGTAGAACAGATTAGTGGTTACCAGAGGGAAAAGGGGTTGGGGGAGGGCGAAAGGAGTAAAGGGGCACATATGCATGGTGACAGATAAAAACTAGACTATTGACGATGAACACAATGCAGTCTATATAGAAACTGACATTTAATAATGTACACTTAAACGTACATGAAATTTACACAATGTTGTAATATGACCTCAATAAAAAAGAATTAAAAATTTTTTAAAAGTTAACTCAAAATGTATTATAGATCTAAGTGTAAAGTGAAAAACTATAAAGCCCCTGGAACATAACATACAAAAAAACCTAGATGACCTTGGATATGGCAATGATTTTTTCTATACAACACCAGAGGCACAACCCATGAAAGAAATAATTGATAGGCTGGACTTCATTAAAATTAAAACTTTCCGCTCTACAAAAGACAGTGTAGAGAGAATGAAAAGCCAAGCCACAGACTGAAAGAAAATATTTGCATGTTTGCAAAAGCCACATCTGATAAAGGACTGCTATCTAAAATATATGAAGAACTCATAAAACTCAACAATAAGAAAATAAACCCAATTAAAAAATGGACCATTTAATGGACACCTCACCAAAGATATACAGATGGCCAAAAAGAATATGAAAAGATGCTCCGTATCATATGTCATCAGAGAAATGCAATTTAAAAAACAATGAGATACCACCACACACCTATTAGAATGACCAAAATCTGGAACACTGACCACATCAAATGTTGGCAAGGATGTGGAGCAACAGGAACTCTCATTCACTGCTCATGGGAATGCAAAATGGTACAGCCACTTTGGAAGACAGGTTGACGGTTTCTTACAAAATTGCACATACTCTTACCATAAGATCCAGCAATCAAGCTCCTTGGTATTTACACAAAAGAACTGAAAACCTACATTCCCACAAAAACCTATACACAGATGTTTACAGCAGCTTTATTCATAATCGCCCACACTTGGAAGAACTAAGATATCCTTTAGTAGGTGAATGGACAAATAAACTTGTGATGCATCCAGAAAACGGAATATTATTCAGCAAAAAAAGAAATGAGCTATCAAGCCATGAAAAGACATGGAGGAACCTTAAATGCATATTTCTATGTGAACAAAGCCTGTCTGAAAGGCTACATACTGTATGATCCAACTATATGACATTCTGGAGAAGGCAAAACTATGGAGACAGTAAAAAGATCAATGGCTGTCACGGGTTGAGGGGGATGGGAAGAGAGGGATGAATAGGTGCAGCACACAGGATTTTTAGGGCAGTGAAAATACTCTGTATGATACTAAAGTGATGGATACATGCCATTATATTTTGTCCAAACCCACAGAATTTACAAAACCAAGAGTGAACCCTAATGTAAACTATGGACTTTGGGCGATATTGATGTGTCAATATAGGTTCATCAATTGTAAACAAATGCACTATTCTGGTGGGGAATGTTGATGATGGGGGAGGGTACGCATGTGTGGGGGCAGGAATAAATGGGAACTCTAACTTCCTCTCACTTTTTCTGTGAACCTAAAACTACTCTAAAAAAAGTCTTTAAATATGAAAAAAAATCTATATTTCATATGCCTGAAAAGAAACTAAGGAAACAAGCGAATGAATATCTTAAGTGTCCACATAGGGGAGAAGAGGGAGTGAAGAAAGGCAACCTGCTATTTTCTGAAATTGCTCCAGTAAGAAGCAAAGATCTACAATATGAACTGAGATGACAATCAAGAAATAAGTTCCTTGAGATGTGAGATATTAGAAAGAATAACTGAAGAAAGAGGAGAGTCTCCTTACCTGGAGGCCTCTAAGAGATAAGACTAGCCAGTCAGTGCTACCCAGAGGAAGGGACAGGATGGTTCCTTAGTAAATACAAATCCATGCTAACCAGATGCCCTATAGGGATCCCCTAAAAGGAATCCCCAAGATCAATCTTACTTTTTTCTCTTCCTCCTTGTCCTCCAACTCTGACTCTTCCACTTCTTTTTCCACGCAGGAATCTGGGCTGTTAGCCCCAGAGAGCATTAAGTCTAGAACAGGAATAGGAAGGAAAGGCTAACTAATTTATCCAATAAAATAAGTGATGAGTTAACGGAGCTGATCCCAGATTATCAGTCTTCTAACTCTGCCTTTCATGTCCAAGTGGTATTTTCTCCAAAAAACACGATCCTAGCTTCATAGATGATGGTTCCACCCTTTTCTAAGTCCCATCACTATTCATTGTGCACCCGCCCTCCTCAACCCCTTTTCTCCATTCCTTTCTCCACCCATCCATCCATCCTGGACACCTGGTCAGTGGCATTCATGGAGAGCCTCCTATTATAGAATCCAGAGCTAGGCTGACGACATTGGATATAAAACAAAGAAAAGCTTCAGTTGCTGCCCTCTTGAAGGAATCCCCCCCCCCCCCCCCCCCCCCCCCCCCCCCCCCCCCCCCCCCCGCCAGTCCTTATCCTACCTTTTCCTTCTCCTCTACTGTCAGATCCGTTGTATCGGCTCTGGAAACCAAACAAGATAACCCGCTCCTGAGGGAACCAAGAAACAAAAGCATCATCCACTACTCTCCCAGGCGCTACTTTTGGCTCTGACTTCAAGATTTGGAATTTATATTCATATTTCATACCGTTTCACTTGAAATTTCATTAGGTTTATCTAGATTTTTATGAAGATTAACTATTATATTATAATAAATAATTATAATATATAATATTGTTATAATCTTTTTCTAGTTTATTTATAACTCAGTAAATAACTGGGAAGAGGATATTCACTGTTTGTCTGTCTCCACTCAGCCCCAAAAGAAGAATTTGAAAGTAAAAACTGACTCTGAATAAAAGAGAGGTTAAGGTACATACATCTGAGACTTGAAGTTAAATATGGAAGTACGAAGTAGGATTCTCCCTACCACAAACTGTATCTGCCCGGGCTGAAAGGAGATCCCATTTGTCCAAGGGCAGGGAAAAGAATGGATGAGTTAATGAGTCAAGGGAATCTGGCTGGGGAAGAAAAGACTAGTTCTAAGACTAAGACTGTATAATGGGGAAGGACAAGTTGGTTTTCCACAGTAGGGAGTACATGGTTTGCTTTGCGTGCCAAGTCCCAAAGAGGAGGAGACGTGTTCTGAATACTCTCCTACCTGAATACTGATCTGTTCTGCCTCCTGAGCCATCACCACGGCTGCCCCCAGTTTCTGGCTACAGTCCTTGTTCCTGTACTTTTTCTGAAATGGAAGATTAGAGTCAGTGATAAATATTAGAGAAGTGACCCCAATGTACTGCTACTCACCAGACATTATCTTTAACTACATTTATTTCTGGTTCCTGATATTGATATGATACTCCTATTCTTAATCTTTTGAGTTCAGAGACACTAACCCCGCCACACCCAACCCTGCCCCTCAACAAACCTTTCACCAGTTCCCGGCAATATTTTCAACCAACATTTTGGTGTCCTCTCCAAAGTAAATCCCATGGAAATGTGAAAAGGTAAGATTAAATGAGTTTAGGTGATTACACTTTTAAGCTTCTCACAAGTTTCTTTAGAGCCAGTTGCTTGATTTAATACTCAGTGCCTGATTTTCTAAGGCCCCTGAAATACGGGGCCTCTGTTCATTTGTAAGGCAGGTTGAACCCAAAATGATTATAGGAAGAAAATATTATTTAGTTAATTATTTTATATATAATTATATTATATATAATATCTGTATAATAAATGTAATTTATTTTTTATATTATTTAGTTAATTCAGTGGGAAAAATTGTTCCTCCCAGAAGATATCTGTCAATGTCTAGAGACAATTTTTCAGTTGTCACACCTAGGGATGGGTGGTGCTACTGGCTAGATGCCAGCAGAGCCCAGGGATGCTGCTAAACATCCTACAATGCACAGGACAGCCCTCCACAACAAAGAATTATCTGGCCCAAAATGTCAAAAGTGCCCAGACTGAGAAACCCTGAGTTAATCTGTGCCCTCATTTCTGCCACACCTGCTTTAACTAAACTGTAGAAAACCATGGTCTTCAGGAAGACCCTCTAACTACAGGCAGGAAAGGAGACTAAGAAAAATCATTATCCTGCTCCAATCCTGGTAGAAAGAAGAGTCCCTCATGAATCACCTCACTCTTGCACACTTGGTCAAACATGAGACTTTCTCCCAACACAGCTTCCCCCGGGAGAAAATCATGTTTAATAAAGGGAAGATTTCATTTTCAAGCTCCCTGTAACACAAGTGACCCCCGAGGGTTGCTCACCACTCCAGTTAACTCCAGGGACAGCTCCTGGAAGTTCTTTAGCATGTTGACTGGGATCCAAGCACGAGAGACTGTTTCCCCAAAAAATGTCACATGGTACTTAGACTGAAATAAAAGACGGTTCTGTTATGGCTTCTTGTCCTTCTCCCTGCCTTGCCCCTCTAGCCAGAAAAGGCAGGGGAATAACTGAGGATTCACAAGGAAGGAGGTGCTGGGCCTCGTCTGCACCTTATACTTGACCCACCTACCCCAGCTCATTCCATTGTTCCATCCTGACCTCAGAAATCCTAACCAAAGCATATTTATCAAAACCATAAATATCCTACTAACGAATAAATATTTACTTAGATTCAAGTTTATTTCTATATGTGAATACTTATTTCTGAGTTTGTCACTCCAAGTGTCTGTTTCTGCTCATGTCTGTTGGCTATGTCAATATTTCTAACTCTGCACATCTGTTAGGATGATTTGTTCATTACTTTGGCCTGAGCACCTACCTATCCTGAACCAGGAAGACTCACCGGCAGAGAATCTAGATGAGAAGCAAACAGAAAATATTCCCCCAGGTCAGGATCAGATTCTATCATGCCTGGCCACCTGGAGAAGAGAGATGGGTACAGGGCATGGAAGAGAAGGAGTTAGATGAACACAAACTCATCAATATACATGTACAGAAAAGGGCAATATATTCTGCAAACAAAGGTTCCCAAAGATAGTCTCCTCCGCCAATCTTAGCCTTCTAGGCCTTCTGGCAACCCTGAGAACAAAACCTTCTGACTAGGGACATCATCAAAGAGGAAACTATCCTATCCTTCCTTGTTCTCTTTACTTTGTATATCTCTCATACCGCAATGTTTTAAAAATGCCTTAGAGCCACTCTCCTCTTTCTATCCACCCAGGGTAGAACTGTCAGGCCCTTTTTTCCCGGGAGATACCACTTCCACTGTGAAACCTCCAGAAAACATGCTCTTTCAAAACCCCAAGCTTGGTACTTTTATCTTCTCCCTCACCCCACACTCTTTCTAAGGCAGGTACCATTTCTATTATAAATGCTTTCCATTTCCTTCCCTCCCTGCTTGAATCTACGACTCCTAGGTTGATGAAGGATGCTCTGACTATGCCATGGTGCCCTACCACGGGTAACCATATTGCTTGGCCCAGATGATGGATCCTGGGATGTAGGAGGCATAGGCCACATCACTCTCACGTCCTGTCCAGGTCTCCTCAGGGATATCACAGCGATTATACTCCAAGTCTGCCAAAAGAGAGAAGGAGGAAGGGAAGGAAAGAGCCTCAAAAGGTGAAAATCTGAATGAGAGTAGGGGAGAGGACAAGAAGAAACTGGTACATGTAGCAGGTGGGACCAAAAGGGCACCTGGGAGACAAGCATGGAGGAAGAATAAGAAAGACCCATGAAGGAAATGCAGGTACAGCCAGGAGAAGTAGGAGTGCTGCCTCCTTAGACTCCAGAAAGAGATTCCAAACTTCTGCCTATAGCCCACGTGGTCTGACCCTGCTTCCATCTATGTAACATCATGACAGCAACTTCTCTGAGACTCAGTTTTCTCATCTGTAAAATACTTGGACTGGACTAGATTGTCATAATCTCTACCAAGTAGTTTCAAACATTCTACAATTCTAAGCCATTGGATCTCTCTCATCTGCTTTTCCCCATATAGCTCATTTTCTTTCCTATCCACCAATCCAATACTAATAATCTAGTCAGAATTGACACGGTCAGACCAATCCTGAAGAAGATGGAATTCACTCAGAACACACATTTAGATTCCAGGCCCCTCCCCACAACATAACTCTTCAGACTATCTTCTCCTATGCCATTATGCCAGATTCATCTTGATATGACAGTCTCCAAAACACTGCAAGGACCCCTGGAGTTGAAACTATACTTACAACATATTTAGTCTAAAGGATACATGCAGGCAAGGAAAGGGAGGAACAATGAAAGCTGAAAAAAACATTTCCACTCCATTCTACCTGTGTTCTGGTCACAGGACCAATTATCTGGAAGGACTGAAGGATCAATATTTCCACGAAGCCGCCTCCATTTCTCACAGTTTGGGGAGGAACACTGGACCCAGACTAGGCATTGATCTGTGACAGGAAAATAACTGAAATAAGAGACTAAAACATGTGCTCGTCTTTCTTCAATCCAACTAGAATCAATACACACCCCGCCAGAATCACAATGCCTTAGAGATCAACCAGTCCAATCCTTGATTTATAAATGGGAAAACCAAGGCTCAGGGAAAATAATCGACTTGCCGAAGATCAGTCTAAATTGGTCGTAGAGCTGAACTTAGAACCCAGGTCTCACATCTCAATCTTTCTCCTACCCCACGCTATCATCTCTCCTTTCCTCAGGGGAGAAAGGAGTGTTTACTATACTGACAGTTCTTTAAAAAGTTGCAGGGCACTTTTCCAGCTAATGCCTTGTTCTCTGCTGGCATATCACTACTGAAAAGTTCTTTTGAAGGGCTACCCAGCATCTCTTTTGCATACAACATCCAGAGTTCCTATCTGAATTTCAACTGATTTACCTGTCATCCAAATCACCAAGCTGCAGCCTTTGAGACCAACAGCCCTGAGTTCACCCCGTTCCAAAAGACACAGGTCTAAGTCTATCATTTCTCAATCAATTATTTACTTTAGGCGCTGTTCAAACAGCAAGCATTTCTTTTATCCAGTACCTTCTAAACCCTCATCCCCACCTTTCTCTATCCCCACATCTTCTAAGTTGACTCAGTGCCTCTCATAGCCTCTCATTTCTCCCTCTCAAACTCTTCCACTGTGTTCTTTGGAATTCTAGACAAAAGCAACAAAGGTCCACATATCCTAAATCTTTTCTCTGAACCTCTATCTCGTTTTTGAAACCTGGTGACACACTAATGACACTGCCCCTACCTGACCCCACCTCCACTCACAGCCCTCCAAGTGGAGTCAGTTCCTTCTCACACGTCCCACATCTTTCAGGCCAGAAAATGAGGTCAGCATCATCTTTACGCCCCATTGACACTTCCAGACCAATACTATCCTCCCTCCTATAAAAACCCTTCCTCCCTGGAGGTCCATGCCATGGACCACCCTCTCATCTCCCTTGTAAAGATGATGGTATCTGGTTCAGCCTTCTTCTCCTCTTGCCCTCATTCCAGATAACCACTATTTCCACAGGAGTAACTCACAAAGCATCCCATTCTCTGAGTTCCTTGATCTTTTCCTCCACACCGCCTCAGTAACCCACTTCACTTCAGTAACCCACTCCCACTCCTGCATGCCCCACCCAGTCATCCACAGAGACCACACACTCCCCTGAACCACTTATCCAAACAGCCCTCTCTGACAAAAATGCCCCATCCTTCCACTTCACTTGCTCAAAGGCCCCTACAGCAACGTTCACTTTATCTAGATCTCCAATCCACTGGCCCCTACCTTCCTCTCAGTCTAGCAGCAATCTCCTTTCTTCACTCTATACTTACTCAAGTTTGATTCCTTAGATTCTCTTGCATGTATCTCCAATTCCCTTTCCTTCTGTCCTTCCTCCTGCCCAGCTGGCAAAGCACAACCCTGAATGAACCCACTCTACCTTTTCTGTGCCTACACTCATTCAACTGGGAGTTGCTAAAGGAAAATCACACAACCAGGCACATAGGTATACCATATATTCACAATTATCGTCAACCAATGTGTTTCTCCAGTAAGTTCACTCTCCTACTGTCAAATTTTACTTTAAATGTCTGAACACAAGGGATGCCCTCCATCCCACCAAAATCAGCCCTCAGAAAAGCAGTTGACCTACATTTGGATCCTTTCAAAATATCTTGTATTATGGGTCACTGTCTCAGTTACTTTATTTTGAAGAACAAAGTACTAATGGGGATAATATATTAGTCTGAAAAGACAGTTGCCAATGATAGCTTTGGATGTTTATAGAGGTAACCTAGCAAGACTAGAAAAAAAGAGTTGGGGAAGGGTCTGGGGACCTGGGACCATAAACATAAATACAGATCAATAAAATAAATGATTGGTTGTGAAAATAATGAACATTCATGAGAAAATGAGGTGGGGGGGGGAATTAGCCTAATGATGTAGAATGAGGTATTTGTGGCTTGGGATGAAATTTCCAATGACAGCAACATACAGTTCTTTAAAATTTCCTTTCAAACAACTTAGAAGAGAAGATGATGTGCTCCAGAGAACTGTTTGAGCCTCACAACATGGCTCTCTGAAAACAAAGATAGTGTCATAGACACATGTTAAGAGCTTTTCAGTTGATCGCTCATTTCTGACACACTAGTTTCCTTGGGTTCTGTGATCCCTCATTCCCTGTTTCCCCCTCCCATCCTTCTGGCAGGTCCCCCCTCAGTCTCCTTTACTGGGTTCTCCTCCTCCTTCATCCAATTTCTAAATGTTGGCATTCCACATGCTACACTTTCTCCTGAGGCAAGCTCACCCATTCCCATAGCTTTGGAACCCATTTTCATATCTTACAACACACAAATGTATACTAACAGCCTCTGTTCTGAGCTCCAGATTCCTAGAGCCACCTTGCTCTTTAACATCTCTATTCGGATGTCTCACAATGATCACAAACCCAATGGGCCCCAACCCAAAACCTTGATCTTACCCACAAATTTGCTCTTCCTCCACTTTTCCCCACCTCCTTTCATGTAATTGCTCAAGCCAGAAGCCAGTCATCTTTGACATACCCTTTCCTCTCTCTCACCCACAATATCTAATTCATTACTAAGTTCTGACAATTTTAGCTCTGAAACATATCTTTTTTTAAAAGTTTTTCCTTCTTCTCCCCAAAGCCCCCAGTTGTGTATTTTAGTTGTGGGTCCTTCTAGCTGTGGCATGTGGGACATTGCCTCTGCAAGGCCTAATGAACAATGCCATGTTCGCACCCAGGATCCAAACCAGAGAAACCCTGGGCCGCTGAAGCTGAGTGCACAAACTTAATTCGGCCAAGGGGCTGGCCCCAAAAACATATCTTAAAAGCATCAACTTCTCTGTCTCCACTTTCATCAAGTCAGCAAAAGATCTAACCCTAGCTCTAACTTCTTCTTCTTCTTTTTTTTTTTTTTTTTGAAAGATTGGCACCTGGGCTAACAACTGTTGCCAATGTTTTTTTGGTTTTTTTTCCTGCTTTATCTCCCCAAACCCCCCTGTACATAGTTGTATATCTTTGTTGCAGGTCCTTCTAGTTGTGGGATGTAGCTCTAACTTCTTAACTGGTCTACTCTTGTCCCCCCATATTCAATTATTCAATTTATCACCAAAGGGATCATTTTAAAATGTTAATTTGATTATGTCACTCCCCTGGTTAAAATCCACCAATGGCTTCCCACCACACTTAGGACAAAATTCTTAATTCATAACTTTGTGTTTGATCTAGCTACTGCCTACCTCTTTACATTTATCAAGCCACTTTCCTGCCTTGCTTCCCTTGCTCTCTGAACTCTAATCACACTGGCTTTCTTTTAGTACCTGGAATATGCCAAACTTCACCCTACCTAAAACTCTTTCTCCTACTCTTCGCTTGGCTAACTTCTACCATTCTTTCAGGTCTCAGCTTCAATGTTATTTCCTTACAAATGCATTCCCTGGCTGGCCCAAACTTAATTAGGTCTCCATTATTTCCTCTTACGACACTCTTTTCATTTCCTTCACAGTACTTAATGAAAATTTTATCTATTGGATACTCTCCTTTCTACTTCCTACTCCAGGAAGACTCACCTCTCCTTGGCAACTGTAAGAAACAGAAAGAGTGGCTCATTTATAGAAAGCGGCTTACACATTCATTATAATCACAGTTCAACTCACAAGCACTGCCAAAGGAGTGAACATCCATCTCCCAGTCTAAAATCCAATCCTTGCCCTAATACTGAGAGGTACAGGAGATGGAACAATGCCACTCAGATCACTGGACTGCCCAGATTAGACTTATACCTCCAGCTCCTTATACTACCATGTCATATGACATTAGGAGCAGATTATTGCCCTGGACTATCTTGGTTGGTTCCTGCATAGTCTTCTTAGAGTTTTCTTTCAAGAACATACAGACCATATTATGCTTCTATAATCAAAATTATAAACATACACACATACATATTAGACACTAGCTGTTTATTCCATTGTTCCTTACACTTTGGGTTCTGTTTTTTTTCAGCACAAGCCTGTTTTCCTCCAGTTTGTTAAGGCTACTTATTTTGAAAATTTTAAACACACTAATATATTGTATGATCTATTTTATTTATTCTCCTAAAATTCCCCAATTTAACCAAGTTTATTTCACACAATACATTGTTTAGTATCCATTTAACACACTAAAACTGAAAATTCTATGAAAGCAATGATTTTATCTATTTTGTTCACCACTGTATTTCCAGCACCTAGGACAACACCTGGCACATAATATAAGGCATTAATAACTATTGTTAAAAGAATATAATCAATCTATATCCATCCTTATCATTCCTCCATCTAATCTCAAAGGTTAAGGTGTCCTTTCTGACTAAGAATAAACCCTCTGGTTCTCTTCTCATTCCCTTTAGTCTCTCCTTCCCTATAAACAATTTTCCCTCAGCATATAAATATGCTGACAACACACAAGTTAAGCCTCTTTCTTTTAAAATAAAGTTAAAAGAAGAAAAACTTTCCCTCAACTCTACACCAACTCCCCTTTATTTACCATTTGCTTCCTCCTAGTTTCACACCTAAACTAACTGAAACAAATAATTATTCTTCAACCAACTATAAACCTGTCATTCACTCTTATCAACACATAGGGTTAATCTAGTCAAGACTCTAATGACTTCCTAATTGTGATATCTGGTGAGCATTTTCAAAACTATATCCTCTTTGATGTCTCTGCAGTAGCATTTGACAAGGCTAAATACTCCCTCTTTCTTGAAATTCCCTCCTCCCCTGGCATCGATGATACCAAACTCTCCTAGCTTTCTTCCTGCCTTTCAGAGTTTTCTCTTAGTTCTCTTTATTTTCTCCCTGGGCAGCTCTTTCTCTGTTCAACCCTAAACATTATGTTCCCCCAGGGGGGTTTATTCAGTGCTCTTCTCTTTTCACTCCATAGCTTCTAAGAAAATTTCACCCATTCCTACTGATGCAGATGACTCCCAATCCATATCTCCAGCCCAGATCCCTTTCTTGAGCTCTAAATCTCATCACAGATCCCCTAACTTGTCCAAAGCTGAATTCATCATCTGAAACTGTTTCTTTCTTCTATGCTCTCCATTTCAGATCATAGTTCTTTCAGCTATTCAGTCACTCATACCAGAAAACAGGATCATCCTAGAGGTCTCACTGTTCATCAGCTCTCATATCCAACTGGCGACCGTATCATACTGATCCTGCCTCCTAAAGATCTCAAATTTGTCTCTTCCTCTTCACTGCTACTATCTTCCTTGCTTGGACACTATTTCTACGGGTCTAGTCTTGCTCCCATCAATCCATCTTCCATGCTTAGTGCAGGGTGAGCTTTCTAAAATGCAAATCTTATCAAGTGTCCCCTACTTAATGTCAATGCTTTCTCTTTACCCTTAAAGTAAAATCCAAATTCCTCAGTTTGACGTGTAAGACCTTTTATGATCTGGTCCTTGCATGCCTCTAGTCTCATCTCCCCCACCCCTATAATCTCTTACCCTCCAACACACCCAAAAGCTACAACCATTAGCCCTCTTCCATAACTCTGCCAATAATTATCCCTCTGGCCCCCATTCCCACCTTAGCTCACCTGACTAAATTATACTTTAAGATCTGAGTTAAGCAATATCTTTTCTTGGAAACTTTTCCAGGTCTTCTCCCAACTTGTAGCTTTCTTGTCTGCCTTCCCCACAAATCTGTCTCCCTTATGGCAAGCTCATATTCATTTCCTCTGCATTTATTCAGCATCTCCTAAAAGCCTGGTGTACAGTGGGCACCTAACAACTATGCATTATATGAATGAATAATTGAATGAATGAAAACGTTCTCTCTCTTCCTCAGCAGTATATTCTCTAACAAGTAGCTGTGAGAGATAAATTATAATCTTTGCAGAATTTCCTTTAACATCCTAACCTTTGCCTCTCTCCTCCATCTTCAATTTTCAAGCCTAAGTAAGTTTTCCAAACCATGGCTGAACTCACCAAAACCACTTCCCTCTCCTTTCTGTGGGTCTCTGATCTGAGAATAATCCTGAACTGCTTTCTTCAGTTGGTCTTTCTGTCTGTGCTCATGTCCACTTTGGGCTTTCTCCATTTTCCCATCTTCTGGGAAAAGAAAACAAAACATGGTAGGGTAGGGAGATGAGGAAGAGCTTCTTTGTAGATAGCAAAGGCCAGCGAAAGAAAGAAGAACCATAGCCTAATAGTTTCAAGCCTTGGGATGAAAATTCTCAGCCTGCCCACTATTCCATTCTTTAATTTCGTGGAGTAAAAACTTAAGCTAGATGTCAAAGTACATCTGGCTACACTTACGAGCTTCTTTCTTTCTTTTGCTTAAGGAGAGTCTATTGAATTTCCTCTCAGAGGGTGCAGGATCTGGCTGGAATGGCTCAGATGTCTTTATCTCAGGGATTATTCCATCTTCCTGAGAAGCTGAAATCTCTAGAATATGAGGCACCATTACCATCTCTCTGAAAATAAGAATTTTTTTAATGAAAAGGTAAAAAGGAGTAATTTGCAGTACCCTTCTTTTGAAAAACCCAAGGATAAAAGTTAGGAGGCTAGAAGAATCCTAGGCCCTCTAAGTCTTCCTGAGGTCATTTTACCCATCTACTTGCCTATTTTTCCCAATTCAAACAGGTATGTTTCCTGAGCTACGAGAGATCTATAGAGATATGAAAAATGACTAGATAGATAGATAACGATTTACAAATGTTAAGTCCACCCTGTGATCAAGCTGCCTCACTGGGATAAACTTACCCATCAGCATTATCATTATCAGTAGTAGAAACAGCAATTCCTGGTTCCTTGTCTAACTGTGTACATCTTATGGACTGGGCACAGGAAGTCTCTGTAAAATCAAGGCTAGATCCCATCCCTCCCAAAACGAAATACCATAAGCAGAGAAGCAGTTAAAGAAGATAACCACTCCATTATTTCCAAACTGCAACCTTTCATTAAAATGTCTCCCCCCTGTTGCCTGGAAGAACCTACCTTTAGAATTTTGTCATACCACAGAACTTTAAGTCTTTAAATTCTCAGGAAAATTACAAATCTATATCTCCCTGCAAGAACTTCCAGATTTATCTGCCTCATTCATGGATACCCAGGTAACGTTAATTTTATTTTGTGTCCATAACAGAAATTGTATGTAATGTGTTTTGTGTCATTTGTTCCACAAACTTTCCCTAAGAGTAGAAGTACACCTAAGAATAGCTAAAAATGCCATCTCCTTATGGAGAAGGCCTCAGGGCCTACACTATAGAGTTCTTTATTCTAAAAGTCAAATCCCTGAGCATATGTTAAAACAGTACTGGAAACAGAAATATGCAAGGATAGATGGAAACTAAGTTCTTCAAATCTGGGGAAAACAATTTATCTTTTCTAAATAGATGTAAACATATAAAAATGAATTTAAATTACATTTTAAAAATCTAGATGAGACTATATTTATATTCTGCAGTCAATGTAATCTACTCTTCTAAAAGTCTGTACCCCCTGTCTAAGGTGGTTTAACTATAGTTCTGTTGATAGAAGATGAAGAATTTAAAAATATTTCAAAGTCCCATCTAATACTTCCTTACTTAGGAAGAGGGAGGAAAAGAGAGCTGTCAACTTATTCTATTCCTAAAGACAACAGTTTCTTTGTCTAACTTCAAATCTTTTCCTCTTACTAAAAGCCATACCCAAGCACTCCTGGAGAGACTTCCGTAGCACAATCTGGATAATCTCTTCAAATTCTGCATTAGTAAGACTTGATTTTTCCTGCAGAGACAAGGGTAGAGAAGGAAAACTGCTCATCTTTCCCCAGTCCTCCTCTCTAATCAGTCAGGGAAGCCTCCTATAGATGAGGCAGTAAGTTAACGAGGCTGAGAGCATGAAGTCAATGTATCTCAGGATTCCGTAAACTCTATCCCAGATCTCCTGGGAATAAAAGAGTCAAAGAAAAAGTTTATAAAGTCTTTGTCTATTTCTACTCTCACCTCCATTCCACTTCAACTTCTACCTACCCACTATTTCCTGCTAAATGCTTTCGTCAAAACATTTTTGACCTCTTTGGAAAGAAAATGGAAGCCCCAAGAAAGGAATAAACAATTTAAAAGTACAGGATGAATTTCCCCAAAATGTAAAGATTCTGTTTGTCAAGGCTGAGCGACTAGGAGAAACTGTCCCACTGGAGCTCATCAATGTGACTAATACCTTGTCTTTCTTCTCTGCTTGCCGGTTGTCTTGAGACTTTCTTTTCTCCCCCTGGCCACTGCTTGGACCATTCTCTGTGGTTGCTTTCTTCTCTTTCTTCCTTGATCTGGCCTTTGGCAGGTCTGGCCTGGCCTCTGCCTCTGGGGAACTGATCCCCAGGGTCTCCTCCTTGGGTGAGTCAGAGCTACAGAGCATCAGGCTCTGCAATTTTTGTGCAGGTGGGGCAAAGGTTTTCTTTGGTCCTTTCCCACATTCTGAAAGAAATTTGATCATCAAATGGAATTCATGAAACATAGAGTCTAACACAGAGACTGCCAAACATTGCCCACTGACTGGCCATATCAGAATTATCTGGAGAATGCTTTTAACAAATTCAGATTTCTAGGCGTCTCCTCATCCACCCCCACCTCCTCTGCCCTGAGATTCTGATGAAGTAGTTTTAAGTGAGACCCAGGAATCTATAATTTTACAAGACTATCTAGATTATTCTGATGTACTTCCAGATTTAGGAACCACTGAGTAATTCAAAGATGATAAACATAAGCATGCAGGAAATTTAATTATTCAAATGTGAAAGTTTTTTAATTCACTCATTTTAACTTTGGACAAAATTTTACGGGAAATTAGAGAAACTGAAAAAAAAAACACTAGTCAAAATCTACAAATGATGCAATGAAAATTGTACTGATCCTGCCAGGTATAAGCAACATCTTTCTTCTGAGCTTCCATAACACTTTGTACCTGTCTGGTGGCATTTACCACATTCAAATTTATGCTACAGATATTTAAACATGTTTTCTCTCCCTATAACTTCATATATTCCTTAAGCAGGACTGCTTCTAAATCATATATCTTTCACTCAAAGTGTCTAGAAAAGTAGTATCTTAGAGTGGACAAAAAGTAGATGTGAACTGAGCTTCCTTTCGGGGGAATCTGGTCCCCTTGGTCCAAATGACCAAGAGCCAAGAAAGAAAGGAAAAAAATGAGAGAAATATACAAAGTGAGCCTCTCTCACTCTTGACTCACCTTTACCCTGCACTGTTGTCATCATTCAGGTCAGAAGCTACACTTTCTTTGTGCCTCTGCTAGAAAAAAGAAATTAACTGCTGTCACTCTGATTGAACATGAGTTTAAACTTTCTTCTCCCCCTGTCTTCTTGGGCTCAGAATCTCTTTGCTTAGGACCCCTGAACTACACTTTCTGCCTTCTTGACTACACTTCTACCTCCTCAGCAGTTCCAATTATACGTCAGGGGATAATGACAGTTACTGTTAAGATAAGCAACAATCCTTAGTGTTTTAAGTGCCTAGAACCATGTCCAACATGAGGTAGGCACTCATCACTAGGTGGTAGTGGTAGTAACGTATCAAAAAACAAAATTCAACTGAGTAAATTTTGAAGATCTTATAGGCTTTATTCAGTGATTTATGAATCGGAAAGGAGCAGAAGGGAGCAGAAGCAAGGAAGTCATACTAGGCAAAAAAGTGGATTGGTTATTGCAAGGTTACCTTCCTTTAGAGGATGGCAGCATAGACAGGGGTCTATCAGGCAGATTGCCTAACTAGGGCTGACCAAGTGATTCCTGATTGACTGGTTTAAGATTCCATTTCAGGGAGAGCCAAAACTATAATTAAGTTAAGACTTGGTTTGGTGATGCGGGGCTTAGCGTAAGCAACTCCATTTGGGTCCTGTCATCTTGTTTTTAACAGATGGAAGTGTAAGTATCAGTAGGAGGATATAGACGGGCCTAGGAGTTAAAGAGAGAAAGTTTTCTTCAGAGGGATAAGCTCTTTTCACTAAGTTCTCCTAAATGCTTAAAATACAAATAATTTGGCAATTCTCTGACCTAATTCAGAGGTCCTTATATGTAGAGAATCTCTTTTTTAAACATCACTATAATGTATATCTTCCCTTTACTTACATCTTCTAGTCCAGTACATTTCCCAATGTGCTAAGTTCTAGCAATCTCTATTCATGGCTCAGAAATATTTGGCAACCAGCAGAGGTCCCCAGAGAAGCTAGTAATAAGAATCTAGCACCTTCATTCTACATCCGTAGTTCATCTATAGCTATCTACTCACAGATGTTCTACACTACATCAATATGCTTCATTATTACTACCAAAATTGTGACTACTAATAACGGATAACACTTACTGAGCACTGGCTATATTCTTTACCCTTTACATATGCCATCTTATTTATTTCTCACAATAAATCTATGAGCTGGATACCATCTTACACTTAGGGAGGTTGAGGCTTAGAGGAATTTAGAGATATTAAGCAATTGACAAGTGGTAAAATCAGGATTAGAATCTGTCTGATTTAAAAGTCTGCGCTATAAACTGTGCTATGCTACATCCCGATAGTCTAGTGGAGTGCTTCGCACCGATTTATATCACAGCACACAGGAAAAGCATCCATTAAAAGTACACATTGAAACACAAGAAAAATTTTATTTCTGGGTACTCTGGAGCAAAAGGACCAGGCTGTTCACAGCCATAGGTAACCGAGGGGTGGGAGTTGGGGAGGCCTCCAGTGACATAAAAGGCTGAGTATGTCCACACAGCTATAAGCCATTTGTGGCCCAACAGAGTGCCAAGATTCATCTTGAGATGTTCCAATAATTTATACATTTTTCCAATTTACACTTTCCACTATTGACATTATTTTTACCCAGATGTTAGAAAAGAATTGCCTTTTGTTTTACCAGCCTAAAGTTCTTACAACGCTTCTACGCAGTTTTCTTGAGGCTTAGAGCATATAAGCCAGTTTTCTCTAGGCTTAGAGCATATAAGCCATTCTTATTTTTGTAAACATTATAACAAGCATTGTAGCTCTGGGAGGGTATCTAGAGGTCATAAAGTGCCAGCTTCCCTTTTTAAAGATGAAAAAATATGCGAAGAGAAGTTAAGTGGTTTGCCCAAAGCCTCAGTGTTAATACGAGGTAGAGCCAAGATGAACTCAGGCCTTCGGCTTCTAAATTCTACTAATAACCTGTCTATTCTTCTCAATGATCTTATTTCTGGCCGTTGGTTTTGAGCACTTTGAAGGCCCTATGCCTGAAACTTAATCTTCCAGCTCTGCCATTTCCCACTATAAATAGAGACCCAAAAGCAGCATAAAATGGATCTTTCGATTCATATACACTTCTCTTTAAAGGATCTGAAAATTTTAAGACTCTGAAATGGCCAGGCTAGAGTAAACACTCAGTTGTTCAGGGTATAGAGTTCCTCCCTTTAGATCCCAAGATAAATTCAAAAGGTGTCAGGAGCTTGACTTAGGGTGGCCACAGCATGGCTGAATGTAAAATATTTTTAAATTATCTTTTGGTATTTTTCTGTTCCTTTTCTTAATTCTATAAACGTGAATAATTCAGCTGTGCTGTTCTGCAGTAACTACTTTTCCTTTATATTAAGGAGAACATTTTCTCAGTGTTTCCATCTTAATTCATCACCACCAACCCTCAAACTTATTTGCTCCAGGAAAAAAGGCAAATGGGAAATTAGAGGAGAAACACTGCAGCAAATTGATCTCCTTCTTTTTGACAATCCTAAACAGAAGCCAGAAACTGAATAAAATTAGGCTGCAAAAGAAATATTAATTTGGCCACAAATGACAAACATATCTTCTCTCAGACTCCAAAATTCCAAAAATGATCATGAGAAGTCCCCATAAAGGTAAACTAAATTACAAGAAGAGCTACACTAAATGAGAAATGAAAATTAGTGTATTTGAGATGACAATATTTGATTTTTAAAAATGTACATCTACATAATATGCTTGTGTACCCATAAACTATCTCTGGAAGAATATACAAGAAACTGACAAAAATGCCTCTGGGAGTACAACTGAGGGGCTGGGAGTGGAAGGGAGCTTTTTACTGTATCCCCTTGTGTACCTCTAGCGTCTTATACACGTATTACCACTTCAAAAGTGACTTTTTAAATTCTACATTCTTCAAGTAAAACAAAAAGAGTATTTTGATCAATCTAAAAAATGCAAAATTTTCCAAAAGTTAGTTTTAAATCATTATCTAAACCTACACTGGCCTCTCTAGGCCAAAGTGTGTTACTGGAGCCTCAACCAACCGGGAAAAATCGCGGGTCATCATTGAGTCAGTAAGACGTAGTAAATCTATAAGCAGCAATGTATGTAGTTCCCCTTAATTGAGAGTGGGGGTGTGATGGGAACATTACTTTTAAAGAAAATCTCTAACCTGATCAATAGAGAAAGGAAAGCCAGGTAATCACTGTCTGACAACTCAAGTTTCTGCTCCTCTGTTTCAAACAAATTTTCTTCCACAGTAAAGAATACTGAAATCAAGTTCAGAGAGAGAAAAAATTTGAAAAAGAGTTAATAAATAAACAAAATACCACCAACTTTCACCTGGTCAGCTACTAAATGACTGGGAGCTCTAAACCCAGGAATAACATTTGACATTTTAATTTCTCTCTTCTTACCTTAGATGAAAAAGAGAGGAAAAAAAAAAAAACAATGAAGCTTTAAGAATGAAAGTAAAAGAAAGTTCCATAAACTGGATCCTACCCACTCAACATAGGAAAGAAGGGTGAATAAGGAGGGAAAAACAAACAACCAATAAAGGGAACCAAGGGAAGGTGAAAGAGGTGTTCCAAAAAAATTCAAGGTTTTCTTACACTTAGAACACTAAAAATCATCACACTGATTTTAGGATAGAATCACCTAGCTCAGCAGTTCTCAAAGTGTGATCCAAAGACCCCTGGGGATCCCCCCCCCTTCCAGCTACTTATCTGTGTTAGGCTGTTTTTTTCTCATATACTTGAAACGAAACAAGATATCATAACAGAGTGAATTCAGAAACAGATGGAAATCCAGCTGTCTTCTATTAAGCCAAACACGAAAGAGATTTGCAAAAATGTAAAACAATGCCATTCTTCACACTAAATTTTCTTTCATTTAGGCAAATATATTTTTCATTAAAAATGTTATTTATGTTAAAGTGTAACGGGTTTATTTTTATTTTAGAATAAATGCTCAAAATTTTTGTTTAATTTCTAATATATGAATAGCAACAGATATAAACCAATCTTTGAAGTCCTCCCTAATTTTTAAGAGTATAAAAGGGTTCTGAGACCAAACTGTTTGAGAACGATCTAGCTAAATAACTTAATTCAGTCGTCAATATTTTTCAAAAAGCATTAATCGTCCTCCCATCCCCCTCCCCCATTTAGAATGTGTTCACAAGTTTCCTCCTCCTAACTATCCAATTATTCCCTTTTTATACTGTTCCTGGAATCCTTGGTCTAAAAAGAAAAGTAAACCCTTTAGGATTATTCTCTAACACAAACGCTGTGAGCCTCAAAAAAAACTGTAAAGACTATATTTAAAATCTCCGTTAAACTGGAGTTTAATTCCCTTTTGGCGTTAACGTCTAATGGCATGTAAACTGCTTATTTTCATGCCTCGATTAGTAACAGTAGTTTTTTCTTTTCTTTCTTCTTTGTGTATGTGTGCTCAGCGAGCTTGATTTAAAACTTTTAACAAGACAGACGGAAAAAAAATTATTCCAGCTGCCCTTACTGCCCAGACCAGACCACGTAGCAAGACATTTACTGTCCTAACTAGTTGAACTAAACCTTTTGCAGACTTTTACAAATCAGTGGACGTGAGCTAAAGCTTCTTGGTTCAGAGGACAAGGAAGCAGAGACGTGGCCGCTTATCACCCAAACGCAGACTCTTTCTGGGGGACTCCCGTGTCCCCCGGCTCTCGGGATCCACCGCCCGCAAGGCTTCCCCACGGGCCCTGCTCCGGACCTCAGACCAGCCTCTTCGCGTCGTCTGGGCTGAAAGGCGCACACGCCCGGGTCCCCGCGCCACCTCCCGTCACCGGGCGCCCAAGTGCGGCAGCGAGAGGCCTCCTTCCACCTCTAAACCAAAGCGGGGAGCTTTCGCTGGGCCGCCTTCTTCCCCTCTCTTCCCTCTCCCATTCTCTCTGGAGGACAGCAATAATAAGACGGGAGGTTTCACAGAGTCCGAAGTCCCTGACGCCCCTCAAGGGGCAAAAAAGTGGCTTTCCAGCCTCTCTTCGCCATCAAGGATCTCACCAGGAGACACTGCCCCCCAGAGGCGCCCCGCCCCCTCCACGGAGGCACCAGAATCCTCCTCCCCTCTCAGCCCGTCGCTGCCCGCCACGATATGGGGTTACTTTTGTGTGTCTGTTGGGGGTGAGTCTGCGGCCAGAGAGTCTGAGGAGGAGGCGTCAGAGTTGCTTGTCGCCCTGAGGAGAAGACTTCTCCTCAGACCACAAGTACCAGGACTGGCCGGGCCAAGCACCCTCATCTGCAACCGGAGAAGAGCCAGCTACCTTTTGGAGTGAAGAGGCCCTAAACGGCGAGGAGCGAAGCGAACTACCGCAGCGATTCTGCAAGCCGCTCCAGCCTCGACCCAGTTTTCCCGCCACCAAGAGAAGGTGCGAGGCCACGCACAAGCTCCACCCCCTCCCCAGCGGGCGGGGGGGTGGCGCGGCGGCCCGGGTTGAGGCGCATGCGCAGCTGGAAGCCGCTTTTGCGTTTGCGCAGCGATTTCCGCCATCTTCCAACCGAGCTGCCCTGTAAAACTACATATCCCATAATCCTGCTTGGTCTCACTTTTTTTAGGCGGCAGCTGCGGCGCCTGATCGTTCATGAAGCTCCTCTTGCTTTTACTAAGTTTTCTCTGGGTCCCAGACTACCTTTTCCTTCCTCTTTTCGTTCCCCAATTCCTATTCTCCCTTTTAGTCTCCTTCACGCCCTTATTTTAATATTTTATTTGAGACTCTCCTGAACCCCACTCTCACCTCTCCCGCCCTCTTCTCAGCCACAGGCCCCGCACCCCAAGCACTGTTGGCAGGGAGAAAGGGCCACCTAGCACCCCGTGGAAGGGGCGTCGAATAGCTTTTTCCCCATTGGCCGAGGCAGGGGGCCCAAAGCAGGCCGAAATCTCTTCCCCGCCTACATTCGTTTTTCTACTAGGCGGCGCGAAGCCGCAGGGTGTGCGCTCGGGAAGGCCTGCGTGCGAGGTGGCTGGGGTGGGCGTCGGCGTCGCAGCCCCCGGGCTCAGGGCTCCTGCGCAGGCTTCGGGTGGTGGGCGGAGGCGTTGGTGTCGGGGCTTTGGGTGTGGAGGCGGAGAATAGGGCGTGGTGTCTCCAGGTGATCGCGATTTGGGGAAGGCGGAGGAGCGAGAGAACGACTCGGCCATTTCGGGGGAAGAGGAAGTTGGACAACATCGGCTGTCTTAGTGCCTTATTTTTTTTTTCTTTTCAGTTCAGCAGAGAATATTTTCCAGCGGGGTGAGTTAAAATGACCTATCGTATTTTACTGAGAACAGTTCGTAGGAAGACGGTCAGTATGCTCCGATCTTTCCCTTCCTCTACTTTTAGGTTCACCCCTCCGCTGCCTCGGAAGCTCTTCTAAGTAGGTGGGCAAAGGGGGGGGGGGGGGACCGGGTCATGAATAATTCATGAGGGCCGCCCCGTTCCTTATTCACGCCCCCTTCGAATCGTGCTGACGCACGTTGCGTGTACCAAACCTGAGGAAGCGACGTAACAGTCCCCGCCCCTAGGACGGAGGGCGGGGTGTCATCTCCAGCACGTGCTGCATCTACCCGCGCAAGCCCAAAAGGGTGTGCGCAGGCGCTGCCCGCTAGGGGGAGGAAGGAGGCGGGGTAGGGAGGTTGTTGGCTTTAGAGCCGGGCGGAGACCGCTGAGACTCATTCCTCAGGAACAAGGGTCGGGTGTCAAGGAGACCTTTTCACACCAGCTCCCCGTCCCCCGCCTACGGTGGGTGGGATCGCGCGGCAGAGACAAAGGATATCAGTAGGGACGGACATAGCTGCGAAGGGAAGTAGGGTGTCAATTTGGGGTGGTGGGCTTTTTGGGGGGTCGTGGGGGCTATATTTAAACTCCCGGAGCCGTTAAGTTGGTTCGTACTCCGATGCGCGCGCAACCAGGGTGGTGGCGGAGTGCGCATGCGTGATTCCGGGGCGAGAGGAACGCGCTCCAGCAGTGCGCGCTCGCGGGAAGCGGTAGTGGTAGAGGAGAAAGGGGTCGGCGCACGCGCGGTCGATTCCTCGAGTTCGGGTCTCGCGGGCATCTTGTTTTGGTCTCGCGGGCTAGTGGGGCGCGCTTCGGGGGAGGCGCTTGGGCGCGAGACTAGGCGAGAAGAGCAGAGCTGCGCGCGCACTCGGGAAAGGGGGGAGGGGAGCGGGGTCTAGGAAGGGGGGTTAAGCCCCCTAGCCCCCCTCGTTGCCCTCGACTGGGACGGAATAAGGGGAGGAAATGATCGAGATGGCGGCGGAGAAGGAGCCGTTTCTGGTGCCGGCCCCGCCGCCGCCGCTCAAAGAGGAGTCGGGCGGAGGGGGCGGCCCCACGGTGCAGCCGCACCGAGAGGCCGCCTCCGGGGAGCTCCGCGGCGGGACGCAGCGTGGGCCGGGGCCGCGCGCGCACTCGGAGGGGGCCCTGGCTTCTGGGGCCGGCAAGGAGAGCCCCAGGGCTCCATCCACCCCCCGGGGCGGCCAGGCGCAGCAGCAACGAGGGGGCGGCCCCCAGGCGCCGCCGCACGGGGAGGCCCGCTTGTCTGATCCCCACGGGCGAGCTGCTCCCCCGGACGTGGGGGAGGAGCGACGGGGAGGGGGCGGAACAGAACTGGGCCCCCCTGCCCCTCCTCGACCCCGAAATGGCTATCAGCCCCACCGGCCCCCTGGGGGAGGTGGGGGCAAGAGGAGAAATAGCTGTAATGTAGGAGGAGGTGGGGGAGGCTTCAAACATCCGGCCTTCAAGAGGCGCAGGCGGGTTAATTCGGACTGTGACTCTGTGTTACCCTCCAACTTCCTCCTGGGGGGCAATATTTTTGATCCACTGAACCTTAATAGTCTCCTGGATGAGGAAGTGAGCCGCGTACTCAATGCGGAGACCCCCAAGTCATCCCCACTTCCGGCCAAGGGGCGAGATCCGGTGGAGATCCTCATCCCCAAAGATATTACTGATCCGCTCAGTCTCAACACTTGCACTGATGAGGCCCAAGTAGTTCTTGCTTCGCCACTCAAGACTGGTCGGAAGCGGCATAGACACCGGGGACAGCACCACCAGCAGCAGCAGGCAACTGGCGGGAATGATAGCCACTCTGTGCTGCCCACAGCCCCCCTCGCGCCCTCACTCCATGGGGAGGGCACCACACAGCAGCAGCGGCATAGAGGCCAGAACCGGGATGCCCCCCAGCCCTATGAACTCAACACAGCCATCAACTGCAGGGATGAGGTCGTCTCCCCCCTTCCATCTGCCCTCCAGGGTCCCTCAGGCTCCCTTTCAGCCCCTCCAGCTGCCTCAGTTACCTCTGCACCCTCGTCTTCCTCCTCACGACATCGCAAACGTCGCAGGACTTCCAGCAAGTCGGAGGCAGGGGCTAGGGGTGCAGGCCAGGGTCCCAAGGAAAAGGGCCGAGGGAGTGGGGGAGGCCGCCACCACCTCCACCCACTACCTGCAGCAGGCTTCAAAAAGCAACAGCGCAAGTTCCAGTATGGGAATTACAGCAAGTACTATGGGTACCGCAATCCTTCCTGTGAGGATGGGCGCCTTCGGGTGTTGAAGCCCGAGTGGTTTCGAGGTCGGGACGTCTTAGATCTGGGCTGCAATGTGGGCCATCTGGCCCTGAGCATTGCCTGTAAGTGGGGCCCATCCCGCATGGTGGGCCTGGATATTGATGCCCGGCTCATCCACTCTGCCCGCCAAAACATCAGACACTACCTGTCCGAGGAGCTGCGTCTGCCACCCCAGACTTCTGAGGGGGACCCAGGGGCAGAAAGTGAGGAAGGGACCACAACCGTCCGAAAGAGAAGCTGCTTCCCAGCCTCACTGACAGCCAGCCGGGGTCCCATTGCTGCACCCCAAGTGCCCTTGGATGGAGCAGACACATCAGTCTTCCCCAACAATGTTGTCTTCGTCACGGTAAGAGGGTCCAAAGGTTTGGGGGATAGGGGCCAGGTATGAAGATGAGATTAAATGGGAACCTGGCAGGGGAAGGTTATGACCAGAGGGATTTCTGTGCATGCACTGACATGTACTCTAGGAGAACCAGAGCCTCAAGAGAAGGGTCTTAATCTGGGACTGATTCCGCTGGGTGTCTCTGCTTTTCTATAACCTAGAAGGGTGGGAGTTCTGTCTAGGGTTTTTTCTCATGTCCACAAGCCCCAAGGTAGGGACTGACTCCTTCTGCCCTGCTCCCGGCCTGGACTATAATCCAGACCAGTCCACCTTCCCTTGGGGGCTGCTGCTGATGCTCACTAGGGGATTTGGTCCATATGAGAACTTGTCCTCCAAACTACTGAAGACACATGAAGGGATCGGTGTCAAACGTGGAATGTCTGGTTGTAGGGGGAGGATTAGGGGAGTGGCTGACTAATATTTATGGTTTCCGTCCATTGATAGGGACCTCGTTTGCAATAGGTGCAGCGTTGGTTGAAGAGTGTCAGTGGTCAGGAACGCAAGTGGATTGGCCTTAGATCATCTCCACACTGACCCTAGATAGCAGGATGGGGAAGAATCAGAAAGTCCTCTGCAGAAGGGAAGAGGCCTGTGTCTTCAGAATGTCTGTTCCCTGACTATGTATAGCTCCCCATAACATGCTCCACATAGGCCGTCTGCAGTAATAGTTGGCAGTATGTTGGATTAAGCCTGGAAGAATGGGCTTTACAGAGGGTGGTGAGCTTATCTAGAAAAGGCTTCCTGAAGGATAGGGCTCCTCGTTTCTCTGGGAGAAGGGAAAGAATAGGCCTGAAACTTTGCCAGCCCCAACCACAGGGAAGAAACTACAGGTCTCCCTTTCAAACCTGGGTTAGGTCCCTTTGTATAATGTTGAGTCACTCGGCTTAATGTATGTGGGGTGGAAATAAGTACTGGACAGGGTCTTGGGAGAACCTCAGCATTCTTTCTCTGCAATTTGACCCAGCTTTGGAGATCTCGTGGGTAATTTGCTCAACTTAAAATTACCCAGGCGCCCTTTTTATGTTTGATTGGTTTACTCTCACTAGAAAGCAGGAGCAGGAGGGTGTAAAGCAAGAAAAGGAGACTCAAAGAGAGGGCACCATTTGGAAGTTAGTCTGAGGAGTGTCAGGGAAGATTGTGGCCAAGGGCTAAGGTGAGGCAGCGGGACTTTGTCTTAGAGGCTGCAGAGCGGGTTGTGTGGGAGCAGTGGTTCTTTCAATGCCTCTGTTGACCTCGCCCCCAATTCTTGCCCTCAGGGTAACTATGTGCTGGATCGAGATGAGCTGGTGGATGCCCAAAACCCCGAGTATGATGTGGTGCTCTGCCTCAGCCTCACCAAGTGGGTGCATCTGAACTGGGGAGACGAGGGGCTGAAGCGCATGTTCCGCCGGATCTACCGGCACCTCCGCCCTGGGGGCATCCTGGTCCTGGAGCCCCAACCTTGGTCATCCTATGGCAGGAGAAAGACTCTCACGGTGAGTTGGGGTTTCAGTGGAAATTGGGGATATCCTTCCTTTAGTTGAGGCAAGAAAGGCCTCGAGGAAGCAGAAAGAGGACTTTCTGAGCAAGGTGAGAAGGCCCCCTGGGTGGGCATCATTCTCTACCCAGGGAGAAGGCAGCGAGTTGAAATTGTCCCCTGCCCTTCTCCCTAGGAAACAATCTACAAGAACTACTATCGAATCCAGCTGAAGCCAGAGCAGTTCACTTCCTACCTGACATCCCCAGAGGTGGGCTTCTCCAGCTATGAGCTTGTGGCCACACCCCACAACACCTCCAAAGGTAGGGCTGGCTTATTTTCTTGGGGGAGGAAGGGAGGCTGGTCCTGGCAGAGAGGGTGCAGACCCTGTGGAGAGTCTTGAGGTCCTGCCAACCCCTCCTGATTGCACACTCTCCCCTCAGGCTTCCAGCGTCCTGTGTACCTGTTCCACAAGGCCCGTTCCCCCAGCCACTAAGTGGCCCCCTGAACAGAAAGTGTGAAGAAGCTGCCCGCTGCTCCTAAGGACCTGGGGGAAGAGGAGAGTGTCCCAAGGTCTTTCCTTTCTGGCTCCAAAAATAGTTTCCTTTCTTGGGTCTGCAGAGAAAGCTTTTCCTATGTTGCTGCCCCAGCCTTCTCCCTACACCTCTGGCACCTAAGCAGCAAGCTGAGCTGCGCTGGACTTACCATCATCTTCCTCTCCCCCAGCTCACTGGGCTGGATGGCATGGACTGTTTGCTGACCTCTGTTCTCCTAAGGCATGGGAGGTGGGGGTATCAAGTTCTCTGGCCTCTTCCTCCTGTTCTCCCAAGGAGGGGTTCCCATTTGTCCTTGGGCCTTGTCCCTAGCTGCGTCTCAGTGGACCACGGATAGATGGACTGAGGGTTAAGGGGGTAAGCTTGGCAGGGAGGCACGCAGGTACTGTGAAAATCCTTCACTCTGCTGTCCCCCTTTGGGAGAGGGGGTTGGGTTTGGAATGTGAGAACAGCACAGTAAACTTGGTGTTTAGGGCAGTGGCCCCACACCTGTGTCTGGCACTTTCTAGCTGGCAGGGAAGGGATGGGGGCCACCCCGAACCTGTAGAACCTGTGCCTCCTCTCTGCCCAAACTACAGGGTCTCAAGAACAGGACAGGTCTTCTGGTGGTTGGGAAAACTGTTGAATGCTAGTCTGATCTACACACAAGTATACAGAACGCCAGTCAGACAAAAGGGGTATAGTGCAAATTTTGATGTGAAACTTGAAGAGTTCGTCTCCCCTCTACAAAAATCCCATTGACAAAATTTGTGTGGGAGCTTGGGGCAGAAGGCTAACTTGGGAAGTGTTACCGGTGGAGCTAGAAAAAGTCACCTGGACCAGGCCACCACCTGCTCTAGTAGCCCACCTACCCTTTTTGTGCTGTAGAACCAGACTAATAGGCAACTTAATTAACTTGAAGCTTTTCAGTGGCTTGTCAAGTGTTCCTGGAGGTTTGAACATTCAGTCAACAAATATTAAGCACTGAGTCAGGTGTAAATAAGGGTAAAAACAAGATCATTTTGAATAGCTGGGTGCTAGCAACTGCCTTGCAGCTTCCTTGAGCAGGATGAGGGAAGGCTTCCCTGAAGTGTAAAACGTGGGCTGAGGCCCACACGTTAAAGCGATCAGAAATAAGTGGTGCAAAGGAACACGTGTGGTGTCATCAAAAACAAAGGTGGTAGCTGTGACTGAAGTCTGGAAAAGGCGGGGAGGGCATCTAAACCCCTGACTTGGACAGTGTTTTCTACTTGTCATCTCTATGAAGTTCCTTTAAAAAAAGGGCCAAAAACTTGACTTCCAGGGAGCTTCCAACCTGAGGTTTGACCCCCAACTTAAGACTCCCAAGAAGAGTCCCATTTGTTAGCAAAACCACTTTATTCCGATAAATAGTTTTAACACAAAAATAGGAAGTAGCAATCCAGGGAGCCTCCAGGTCTACGCTTCCCACCGCCTCAGCGTCCGATGCATGAGAAAGGTGTCCTCTGAAGGGCGGGGCCGGAGCTGAAGCCGGAGCGGCGGCAGCCCATCCAGGGTCAGGTGTGGAGATTCATAAAATAGTGTTTCTGGGTCACACAGGATGGTCATGTCTGGCCCTGGCCCAGGTGGGTCCTGTGGGAGTTGGAGCCCAAAGCGGAGTTAGGCTTGCGGGCAGGGGCAGGGGGCACAGGGCAGGCTCCCGCCCGGGGCCCTCACCTTCGGGGCGGGGGCTCGACCCTGCGGCGGCAGGAGCGCCAGCTTCTCCCGCAGCGCGGCGTTCAGAACCTGTTCCTCCGGCACCTGCAGGCTCACCAGGTCTCGAAAGAGCCGCCTGGAGCGCGGCACGTTCAGCCCTGAGACCGCAGGGGGAGCGGCGGTGAGCGGCGCCCCTCGCCTCGATCCCCGCGCCCGGCCGGCCGCCTGCCCCCCTCACCCTCGGCCACGCTCTCCTCCAGGCCGCAGCGGGTCTGGAAGGACTTTCTGAGCTGCTCCTCCACGGCCTTCGCGGCATCGAAGGGGCCCCCCGCTGCGGCCCGCGCGGCCTGCAGCTCGAAGCTCAGGGCCAGGCTGCTGTGCGGCGCGGGCGCGCCCAGGTCGGTCGGCGCCGCGGGCTTCTCGCTCGTTGCGGCGGCGGCCGGCGGCAGCTCGGAGCGCACCGGGGAGGGCGGGGCCAGGCGGAAGCGAACCTGGGGGCAGAGAGCAGGGCGGTGAAGAGGTGGGCGCGGGGCCGCGGGCGGGCGGCCAGGTCTCCCCCCAGCTCACCTGCCGCCCTTTGCGGGCCCCGCCCCGCCGCTCCGCCCGCCCCTTGCGCCGCCCGGGGCTGCGGTTCGGCCGCTGCGTGCTCTCGGAGCTCGGGCTCAGGCTCAGGCTCAGGTCCAGACCGGGCTCGGGCACCGGGGCTCCGGACTCCGGGGCGCGCGGTTCTGGGGGTGGCCCCGGGGCCTCCCCCCTTCCCACCGACTCCAACTCTGACTCCCCACAGCCCATCATCTTGGCGTGGCTGCAGGGGTGTGGGCGCTGGGGCCAAGGGTCAAAGGACCCCACTCGCCAACTCCTCTCCCCCGCCCCTCCCTTTCGCCGCTACCGGAAACCGTTATCCCTACCCGAGGAGGCTCGCCCCGTCCTATTGGGCCTCTTTAGCGTCGTTTCCTTTGCCCCGCCTCCAGTCTTCCCGCGGGTTTCCGTCTGCGGACCTAGTCCCCGCCCCCAGGCCGGGGCTTCACAGCTGAAGCCCGTGGAAGCCCTACGGATCCTCATCGGGACCAATTCTCCTTTCGCAAACCTACCCTGTGGTGTGCTCGCCCCGCTGTGTCTTCGCCCGACTTCTGCTGGAATGCTGCCTGTGTCTGTCTGCCCTGTCCCAGCGCCAAGTGTGACAGCTTTGACTTAATGGTCCCGCGCCCTCTCATTTGGACCTCCCTACTTCGTGCCTTCACAGCATCTCCGCGAGTTCTGTCGCCCCCGAACTAGAACCGGAGCTTCCCAGTATGAGTGGGTGCGAGCGGGGCACCCTTCTGGGGCTCTGGGCGATCGTGGTTGCGCGGGCGGTAACTGCTTCATCCAGCCTTGCAGCCTTCTGCCACTTCTTAACCTTCGAGGGTCTCCTAAAATATTCCTCTCTGTAAAAATACGTATCTGTGTATTGAGTACACTTTAAAAAAAAGAGAGAAAGAAAATAAAAAAGAAAGTCTTGGTAGACTTATCCAGGACCCCTGGACTGCAGGGCAGGATCCTGGAGCTCTCGCCCGTTCCCAGTGTTCCTTGGGGCAGTTCCTCTCAGTTTTCTTCTTGTGTAAAATGTACTAAGTCGAGTTCGGAGCTCTTGAAGCTCTCCCCAAATGGGTTAATACTCAGTCAACAGGCATGTTGGCGGGCCACTTTTCAGTTTGAGAGTTTTCACATTGTTTTTCTTGCCAAGAAATGCTGTGGAAGATTATTTAGAATGGATAGCGTTGCCCGCATTTTGCAAAAAGTTTTAGAGGATGTCAATGGTGAAATGCTAGAGGCTTTCCTGCTAACGTCAGGAATAAGAAAGTATGCCCATTACCTCTACTATTCAATTGTGAAAGGGAGTAGGGAGGTACAAATGTAAATAAATAAATACTTATATTTTTAAAAAGTGGAAGTATAACAAAAATTTTTAATAGTTCATATGAGGAAGGAGAGAATAGAATGAAGGGAAAAGAGGCTAAACTTTGCATATACTCTGTTTTATGTATCTGACTTTGGAAACCTACATGTTTTATGTGATTAAATGATAAAGATTAATTTTAAAAATCAATCTATAAAAGTTGAAAGTAAAATGAAACAAATAAACCTAAATGTATATCTTGGTGACCTAACTACACAGAATGGAGCTCTTCTGAATGACTTGAAAACACAGATTTACCCTAAGGACAAAATTAACTGCCATTTTTTTAAAAACTGCCATAAAATCTGAAATTGTATTCAGTAGTTGTATTGTTGGAAATAGGTGTAAATGTGTAAGATAAAACAATTATGTTGATGTTATCAGAACTGGAATTTTGTCATAGGAGAGGAGATATGTAGATATAAAATCAGTGATGTTATGCAAACTTCCTATAGTCTTGAATTTAATTAGAAAGTATCTGTATGAACTCATGCTGTATTTTAGCTTAAATTAAAAAGTATATCCTGGGGCCAGCCTGGTGGCATAGTGGTTAAGTTCTCTTGCTCCGCTTGGGCAGCCTGGGGTTTGTGCGTTCAGATCCTGGGCACGAACCTAGACACTGCTTATCAAGCCATGCTGTGGCAGCATCCCGCATAGAAAATAGAGGAAGATTGGCACAAATGTTAGCTCAGGGCCAATCTTCCTCACCAAAAAAGAAAAACAAAAAAGGGGGGAAAAAGTAAATCCTAATTCTTTCCACTGAAAAGCCCTTAGAAATAATGATGGACTCAGTAAGCCCCTCTGCCCCCAGAATGTGGTAGCTAATTCAATATCCCTGTACATTTAAAAACCTGTACACTGTGTTCATAGCAGCTTTACTCATAATAGCCAAAAACTGGAAACAACCTAAATGTCCTTCAACAGGTAAAGAGTTCAACTATGGTACAGCCATACCATAGAATACTACTCAGCAATCCAAAGAAACAAATTATTGATCCAAACAACAAGGTGAAGGAGTTGCCAGGTTATTATATTGAGCAAAAAACCAATCCCAAAAAATTACATGATGTATGGTTCCTTTTATATAACATTTTAGAAATGACAAAAGTTTAGAAACAGAAGACAGATCCAGTGGTTGCCAAGCGTTAGGGCCGAAGTGAAAGAGGTGGCTGGAGGGAGGTGGGTGTGGTCATAAAACGTCTGCACCAGTGATCCTTTGGTGCTGGAACTGTACATTTCTTACACTGTGGTGGTGAATACAGGAACCTACCCAGGTGTTAAAATTGTACAGAGCCTAATGCACACAAAAAGAGTACAAAACTAGGAAATCTGAATAAGATTGGTGGATTATATGAATGTCAGTATCCGGGTTGTGATAGTATAGTATAGTTTTGCAAAATGTTACTGTGTTAGTTCATTCGGGCTGCTCTCACAGAATACCACAGACTGATGGCTGTGAACAAAAATTTGTTTCTCACAGTGCTAGCAGCTGGGAACTCCAAGATCAAGGTACTGGCAGATTTGGTGTCTAGTGAGGAACCGCTTCCTGGTTCATGGATGGCCATCTCACTGTGTCCTCACATGGTGGAAGGGGCAACAAGGGAGCTCTGTGGGGTTTCTTTTATAAGGGCACCTAATCATCTCCCAACGGCCCCACTTCCAAATACCAACACATTGGGGATTAGGTTTCAACATAAGAATTTGCGGGGGACACAAATATTCAGTCTATAGCAGTGTTACCGAATCAGGTTCGTTTTTGCCCACCAACCAGAGAGCCAAACACCGAGATAACAAGATTGTAGCAGAGAGAGGGTTTACTCACAAGGCAGCCACATGAGGAAGTGAGAGCATGAGCCTCAAATTCGCTTCCCTGAAAATAGGGACTCAGGGATATTTGTGGGATGGGGGCAAGGTGGTCTGAAATGTGGAGAGAGGTGATTGGAGGTGAGGAGAGGTGAGGTAACTGATGATCTGTGCAAGCGTAGTCAGACCCATGCCTCTTCATAGGACCCATGTTCACAAAATGGCAGCATTAGCATGATGTGAGGGTGGAGTTTTAGCCTCTTGATGTCAAAAGGTCACCTATTGGACATCTGCACGGGCCCAGTTGATGAGCTGGTGGTCTCAACTGGCCTGAAGTGGACAAGGAGTTCTAATTCCTGAAAAACAGCTCACACACCCATTCCCATGGTGACCCAGGCTCCAGGGAGACGTTATCTGTAGGAGCCTAGTGGGAGTCAGATAGCATACTACCTGAGCAGCACAGTTAACAATGGGTGGGTTAAACAACTAAAAGCTATAATCAGTAATAGCAAAAAGGAAAAACTTTAGTACCTAGATGCCCAATCATCAAGGACTGTTTGCCGGTTTCAATCCCCCCTATTCTTTGGTCATTCCTTATTTTGAGGAATTTGGGGCAATGACTAATCTAGCTACTTCCTGCTGAATTGGGGCATAGATCTGGGTTAAAGGAATGAAACAGTTTAGCACTCATCTGGAAATATTCTCTTTTTCTCAGCTTACCAGAAGGGTAAGAAGTTTAGACAACCCAAATTTTAACAATCCCTGAAAAATAGACCTAATCCCAGTGGGGCCTCCATCTGATCTCCAGGTGGGGCAGACATCTGGTCTCAGTTCCTGATAGTCTTTTGTTTTACTGGATGTGCATCAGAGACCACAGCAACAGCCTATATCCTGATCTTTCAGTTGTCATTGATGATGCCCATCAGCACAGACTCTCTGCCTGGGGGTCATCACATTCCTAAGGAACTCAAAAGAGCAAAGTTATCATCTTATAGCAGCTGAGAGGGTTCATAAAATATACAGACCATGTCTGGGTTAGTTAATCAGAAGTCATTCAAAGTTACGGTATGGTTTCTGTTTTACAATATGGCTTCCCTTATGTCAACATTCTGTTGACTGGCATCAATCCCCTCTTTTGTTGTTCATCTTCAGTCTTGAGGGATTATCCTTTTGATGAGGGGCATAGGTTGTTCCATCTCATTGAACCAGTCTCTTAGTAAGATGGTGATGCAGGTAGGCTCCCAAAGTTCAGCCTATATTGTGTTAGCAAGTAACCAGGTATTTGATAACGAGTATTTCTAGAGAGACAAAAAGAAAAACAAGGTTAATGGTGGAGCAAATTATAAACCTTTCTGAGTCAAGGTGGCAGCCAGTCAAAAGATTTCTAGGTGTCAGAGTCAAAGCATCTTTTGCAGTTTGAAATGTCTCCGATGATGTCATCAGGTGTTCAGGTATCTTACTGAGTGTCTTACACAGCAACAGACATGAGTCTCTCTTAAGTTTATATCAAGTTGTCCAGCTTCAGTTTGCAAGGTTTCAGGAAAAAGGGCAGGTTCAGTTCTCAATGATTCCAAATGAAAATGATGGGGGAAAATTTAAAACGTTAATTTGGAGATTTGTAGCCAGATATTTCAAGAGACTAGAAGAATTCAGGATCCAGTCCAGTTAACAGATATAAAATAAAAACCTCAAAGACAATTATCAGCATTAGAATTTAATACCATGTATGTGTACTATAGTTTTTATTGAAACATAATTTTTCTCTCTAAAATCACCCTCATTTTTACCAAAGATAGCCAAATTAAGACTAATCAGTTTGCAAAATAAGTTTAGTTTTAATAAACTCAGCCCAATTATTTACATAAGTACAGCAAGAATAACAATTGATTATATAGGTTCTTTCAAATCTGCTTTGCTGAAACTCTTTCTGAGGAATCTCAGATTGAACTTTAAAGGCCTCTTGAGGCCAGGAAAGCCAAGCCAAAGACTTGTCATCAGATTTTGCCTGCAATACCTACAGATTTGGGTGGATTCCTCTCTTCTCTTGAGATTGCCCAAAGTATTTTGAGGTTCCGGGCACCTGCCAAATAAATGACCTTCCTTACTTACCTGGGTTGCTGGAATCCTTGTAAACAAGGTACCAGGCTAATGTTTCCAAGTGGCTTTATCCCAGGAAGTCAACCTTTATTCCTCAAAAGTTGTCTTGTCGTATCTGAGCCTGTATGCTTCTCTCAAATATGACATTCCAGTCAAAGCTTTGGTAAGATAAGCAATATTTCCAATTGTGTCCTGTTATAAGGAGAAGAGATTCTTATTGAACTTACTTATGCAAATAACTATATTGCCATGAAAACTATACTCACTCGTTAAGAGTTTTCAAATCCTGGAGGGATCAGGTAGAGAAAGAAAGAAATGTTTCAAATCTGCTTACAAAGGTATAATTTATCAAATTGACATAAGTTATAGTTAGCATGAGAGAAAAAGACTTCCTTAAATCTGGAAACAAAACAGAACATCAAAAAAATCAGCAATATCTCAAATGAAAAGTCATATAAATCATAATCATCCTCATTAGTTCCTTCAGTCCTGTGTAATCAATTCTTGATCTTACTGTTCTGTTGGCAGTTTTATGAGGTCATCAGTTTCTCTGTTAGAGTTCTGTAATTTCTTACCCTGTTCACTTTTACAATCTGAAAGTTTATCGGAAACCTGTATTCTAGAGTGTCAGAGTCCTTTCCATGAATTTCTCTGAAGACAAACCATATTTTGCAAAAGCATCAGAGTAAAACATTAACTGTCTGTAAACAATAAGATTCCAAAATGGCAACTGACAAAGAAATTTGGTTAATTTGTGACATACAATACTTTAAAATAATAACCAGAATTATGGCTGACTGATCAGAATTTTAGGAATGTTATATAATTTTTAAACCATTTATATGAATAGTATTTTCCACATAATACCACCTAAGAAAGTTTATCATCACTTATTTGGCAATGCTTCCCATGTAATTTAACATACCAAATAAGCCTAATTAGCTTAGTGTCTTCCTCCTTATAGGAAGAGAGAGAAAATCTCTTTGACAAGTCTCAGGGGCCCTCTGAAAATCCTCAGAGAAATTCTCTTGCTTCTTCCAGGCCAAAAGAAAGCCTTTATTCAGAATTTGAGTATTTGCAGCGGGGGGGGTGGGGGGGGGGGCACTTGTCAAAAATATCAAAAGGTTTTAAAACATTTGTTCAGATAGGAAACAACACTCAGTTATCTATTCAAAGTGACAAAAGAAACAGTCAAGGGTAAACAGTTAAAACAGTCAAAAGATCTTAATAGAGAGAGCTTATTCTCTGTCTTTTGGGTAGACTTTCTCAAAAATAAAGAAAAAAAACCTTTTATAACCTCTTTATCAAGAGCAGACCAAAAGTTCAAGAAAATTATCCTTTTGAGAGAGAAAATCAAATTTTAATTTTTGCACCAGCTCATATTTTTTGTTTTACGTTAAAATTCATTTACTTAATTGAATTTACTTTAATCCTAGCCAACTTGACTAGGCATAAAACTCCCTTCAGAATTTCTCTTTCACAAACCTTCTATAACTTTCTTTTTACATTCAGAATTTGTCCCATGCTTTCTTTCTTCCCTTCTAGTACTTAAGGACAAATTTATCTTTCTTAAACTAACGAACAAAAATGCTTCCATTCTTTATACCTTCTTTACTGAAAACATACATTTTAATTTCCTTGTATACAGAGCTGTTTGCCTTATTAATTTTTAGTAGCTTTAAATTGCATATATTAATTAGAATTTTTAACCCTTACAGACCCTAGTAAAAACTAAAAACTAAGCAGTTATGAACTGTCCTTTACATTAGCATGCTGTGGCTTGGCAAATTTATAAATATGTTTTATAATTTCTAGAAACGTGCTACTTCATGTACAATCTTAGTAAAATACAAGACATGTTTACTAATAGACCTAAACACCTTTTAGTTTCTTTGTAATAAGAAGCCAAAAGTAGATAGATAAATCTAGACATGTCTAATGATAATGTTTCAGTATTTTATCTTATATGAAAAATGACCCAGATATTCAGTGAGTTTTTTATCATGCAATTTTACCTAGAAACACTTCAAAGTTTCAAGTTACCAGAAAGATTTTGGAAGTTATTTTAAATATACGTGTTATAAGACATAATTATTTTAAAAAGTTCACCCAACACTTTTGTCTTTTTCACATCTAGTTTACTCGTTCCCAATAATTATTTAGATTGCCTATAAAACTTCGTGAGATGTTAGACAAAATTAGCCATCATTTTAAATTAGTATTTTTGCTAACCAGTTTTGTAATAGAGATAACATCAGCTTATTTGACCAATAAATGTAGATTCAAGGCTGCATGTCTGCATCATATCCACTGCTAACTCTGGAGGACATGTCCATTTTAATCAAACCAACAAATTTAAATAAGCTTTCATTTACCAAAGATTAATTTTATATCATCTTAACTTAAAAGACATTTGGGTTAATTTCTTTTCCATTTAGAAATAATTTAGGTAAGTGCTTACTTTAAGCCAATTAAACATAGCTCTTAATTTTTGGCCATACCATCCCAAGGTAAAAATATCACACACATATAACATACACATAGACACACATACACAGAGACTGCACAGCTATTGTTTTAAAATTACTGCCATGCATCAGGTACAAGGCTCCCTAGTTGTGAACCCAAATTTTGTTTTGAGCCTTTTTACTAATGTTTGTGGAGAAGACACTCGCGATGCTTGATTTTTGGCGATGGCGCTCTTCTGGTCATTTTTGGCCTTTTTCCTTTTTTTTTTCTTCAGTCTTAGGAATTAGTGATGGGCTAGATAGTCCCCAGAGGATTTGCAAGCTCTCTGAGATAAGGGAAATGGGTGGAACTGCCTCTAAAGCTGCATTTCCAGTCTTACAAGGATTTTCCTAGGACAGTGGCTCTTGATTTCTCAGAAATTGGGTTGTAACTCAAATGACATTACGGGTTGATCTACCTGTCCAACTACATCGTAAAGGCACAGAGAAACCACTCAAGTTTTCTCCAAGATGGAGTTTCTGGGGCATAACCCACCCAAAGTTGAAAGTGTTTCCAATTAATTAAAGTGCACCCAATCGGTGAGTCTCCGGGGATGCTTGGGGCATTCCCCATGGTGGTAAAGCACCGTCAGTGTCTGACTGACAGTGGGCCAGAGAAGGGTGCAGAGCCCGACTGCAGGTGTCAACATAGTTATAAGATTTAGTCAAGTCCCATTCAGCACAGGCACTTAGTCCCTGAGCCAGCACAAGGCAAGCCAGAGAGGCAAGAGGCAAAGGCCTGGAGTGGTCTGGGGCTGGGACTCCCACTGCCAGGGTTGAGAGCGAAGTCCCTGGCAGAAAGTTTTTCAAGTTTTGATTTTACAGACTGTCTAGGTTCTGCTCAGGTCCAGCCTAAACTGAACCCCAACTTGATAACAACAGAGAAGCTGACGAACAAGACAAAGAAGGGAAAGAAGTGATCAGGCCTCGCCCTCCCAGCCTCTTCCCGAGAGTTATCAAGATAAAGCTCACACAAACAACAGTTCCCAGCCAAAACAGTTCACAGAATAAATCACCGGTCCTCTGTCTGCACGACTGACTTAGTAGGCACCTAAAATCCTCAACAAGCTCTTGACAGGAGACAAAACATGGTTCCAGATTGTCAGTCAAGGATTGATCAAGGGGCCAGCCTGGAATCACTCCAAGTGCCCAAAACCAGAGGAGAGCTCCCGGGGGTGGAATGAGAACTCTCTGAAACCAGACAGAGGAGGGCTCCTGGGGGTGGAAAGAGGACTCTCTGAAACCAGGCAGAGGAGAGCTCCCCGGGAAGGAACATGCACCTCCAAAACCAGGCAGTGGCGAGGTGGGGGTGGGGTGTGGAGCTTTCATTAGCATCTGTAAGACCACGAGTGGAAGCTGAGATTCCAAATTTAAGTTCTTAAGACTAGTCATCGTAAGAGCTCTCTGACTGTGGCCACATGGTGTTACAGAAAAATACCATCTTTTTCTTTTTCATGGACTTGTAACTAAAAGTTGTCCAATTTAGAAGAATGCAGCCTAGGGGGCTGCAGGTGGGAATCAAATTAGCATAATTTAGACACGGCTGGTCAAAGTATACTTATGCTGCAGCTGGAACCAGATCTCCAAACCAAACCAAACCAAGCCAAGAGCACTTCTGTGAACAGATCCCTAATTCTTCCTTATTATCGAGCATCCTCCAAACCAAGACCCTCACAATGAAGGCCGGACCAAGGCTTCCTTTGTCGGAAGTCACGGAGGGCGTCCCCTGCCAAACCAAGGCTTCCTTTTGGAAGCCAGACTTGAAGAAGAAATAAGAATGTGGTCACTTGTACCAAATTTACTCACCAAAAAGACGTCGTCCAAACCGAGAAACCGTCTCTCTACTGCAAAGTGAAAATATGCGCCGAGGAGTTGGCAGCGCCAAGCCAGGAAAGAATCCCGGAACAGTCCCAGGGGAAATGCTCCCGGCAGCTGCTGGACTCCACAGGTTCTCCACCCTGGCAAGGGGCTGATGAGTCTCAGGCAAAAAGGTCCCTCTGGACTTAGCTCCTAGCTGGCTCGTCATTTGTTACAGAACCAGGTTTGTCTTTGCCCGCCGCCCAGGAAGCCAAACACTAAGATGAGAAGATTGTAGCAGAGAGAGGGTTTACTCACAAGGCAGCCACGTGAGGAAGTGAGAGCATGAGCCTCAAATTCACTTCCCTGAAAATAGGGACTCAGGGATATTTGTGGGATGGGGGCAAGGTGGTCTGAAATGTGGAGAGAGGTGATTGGAGGTGAGGAGAGGTGAGGTAACTGATGATCTGTGCAGGCGTAGTCAGACTCCATGCCTCTTCATAGGACCCATGTTCACAAAATGGCGGCGTGAGCATGATGTGAGGGTGGAGTTTAACCCTCTTGATGTCAAAAGGTTGCCTATTGGACATCTGCACGGGCCCAGTTGATGAGCGGGTAGTCTCAACTGGCCTGAAGTGGGCAAGGAGTTCTAATTCCTGAAAAACAGCTCACACACCCATTCCCATGGGGACCCAGGCTCCAGGGAGACGTTATCTATAGGAGCCTAGTGGGCGTCAGATAGTATACTACCTGAGCAGCACAGTTAACAATGGGCGGGTTAAACAGCTGAAAGTTATCATCAGTAATTGCAAAAAGGAAAAAACTTTAGTACCTAAATACTTAATCATCAAGGGCTGTTTGCCGATTTCAGCAGTTACCATTGGGGAGAACTGGGGAAAGTGTGCAAAGGCTCTTTCTGTATTATTTCTCACAACTGCATGTGAATCAACAACGATCTCAATAAAAATTTTAATGAAAGTAATGTTGGGGTTGGGAAGAGGGGCAGAGCATGGGGGTGGGTATATAAAGAAAACAAGATCAGTCAAATGTGAATGGTTGTCAAAGCTGGGTGATGGGTACATGGGGGTTTATTATATTTTCTCTATTTTTATATATTTTGAACATTTCCATGATAAATTTTGTTGTGCTTTTTTTTTGAAAAGGAGGCTGAGGTAGCTTTGGCACACAGGAAGTGTAGGAGCTGAAACTTGAAATCGCTCCCCAGGCCTTGGCTGTGCAGATGGATATAAAGGCCCCAGCCATGCATTTAGTATGCTCAGCTCCCCAACCTTAAAAGCTAGCCACTACCCCTTCCCAGGCCCAGATACAGAGACACAAACAAGCCCTTCTGTTTGCCAGCTATGCTGTGAGCCTCCAGGAAGTAGGAAGGTCACTGAGTGACTTTAAAGAAACAAGGTGAAAGTGAGGATGCGTGGGTGAAAGTGAGGGCATGAGGGGTCCCAGTCCCGCCCCCACTCTTCCTAGGAATTTTTTGGCTGAACCAGGCTGAGAGGCCTGGAATTGCTTTTCCTCTATTAAAAAAAAAAAAAAAATACCTCCTTTAAGAAGGTATTGATAAGTGATGAAGACTCTTTCTCTAGCCTTAACTTTAGAGTCTCCTCATAGAAGCACGTTCTAGAGCTGCACCCTCTTCTGCAACAATGGACTCCAGTCACAGGCCACACCAAACCGAGCCCTGACTGGGCGCAGTGAGAAGTTGGAAGAGGGGACTCAGGAGGAGGCAGCTAGGGAAGGAATTGTAAATATGGTCCAGGAATGGACCCCGCATAAGCAAAAGAGGGGAGACACCGAAAAGCTGAACTGATCTCATTGCCTGAGACTGCCAAGCGAGGGGGCCCTGCCTCCACTCTCCAGACTGGGGAGGCCCCACCTCTGCATCATCTCCCATCCAGGGAAGGATGGGGAGAGGAGAGAAGCAGGAATGCTGAAGGAAGAGGGAAAGAGGCACAGAGAAGGCCCCTAGGAAGAGGTCACGCTGTAGGCTCTCAGGTTCTGTCTTCATGGGTCAGACCTCACCAGGTAGTGATGTTCCCTTTAGTCGTGTGGGGGGCAATCCCAGACCCGGAGCCTGGTTTGGGGAAGGTGAGTCTGAATGCTGAAAGGGTCATTCAATGTCATCTCGAGCTGCTGCTGGGCCAGACGCTATGGGTGTGACAGGTGGGACAGGAGACAGGACAGGGTCAGAGGTCCTTCAAGGGACCATGCCATTGAGTAGCAGTGGGACGCCTCCAATGTAGTGACCCACAGTGTGGCTGGGACTGCTGCAGAGGGCAGCTGGGAAGACCTGCCGGGGCATAAGGGGCAGGGGAAGAGCAAAGGCTCCATCCAGGAAGGCGCCCTCCAATAGAGCCAAGACAAGTCAAAGAGACGAGATGGCAACCCTCAGCCACCACCCTCTGCAAACCCCACCTGCGAGGACCCCTCACTTCCCGTCTCCCACTCCCAAACTGCCTCTGGTTGGGGGCCAACCCAGAGACACTTCCACACTGTGTCCCTCTCACACAGGGAGTGCTGGAAGATGAGCGTGGCCAATCTTGTACTTCAGGGGCTATGGCCCACCCCCCAGCCACACACACATCCAGGCTCCCATCCCCACTTTCCCATCCTACCTAATCTCAGGGGCAGGCAGGGTAGACCTCCCAGCAAAATATCAGGTCTGATGTGTTTCAGCCTGAGCCCACCACTCCTTTCTCCCGACCCAGAAGGAACACACCAAGATCCAGAAAGGAGAGCACGGATCAGGCTGCAGGCCAACACACTGCCTCCGAGTCCCTTGGCCTGGCCCGTCCAGCAGCAGGAAAAGGAACAGGAGGGCCAGGATGAGACCCCTCATGTATGAGTGTCCAGGGATGTAGGATGAAGCCGGCTTCTGAGATGAAGGAGAGTTGAGGGTAGGGAACAGGGTCTCATTCGGAAGAAGTTGTCCACAGCCTGGGTGGGTTAGAGAAGAATGAAGAAGGGGAAATTGGATGAAGCTAGGAAAACAGAAACAGATTTTCAGGATTGGGAGTTCAGAGAATTCATTGGAGCTGGGCTCAGAAAAGGGGAGAGGATTGGACTGAGGGCCTGAGCTTGCTGGGGAAGGGATGTCCTTAACGTGAGCATAGGGAATAGAAGGTTGATGCCAGTTGGTTGGGGCCTAAAAGAGCCTGGGGAGGGGCCAGCCCGGTGGCGCAGAGGTTAAGTTCGCACGTTCCGCTTCGGCGGCCAGGGTTTGCCGGTTCGGATCCCGGGTGCAGACATGGCACCGCTTGGCAAGCCATGCTGTGGTAGACGTCCCACATATAAAGTAGAGGAAGATGGGCACGGATGTTAGCTCAGGGCCAGTCTTCCTCAGCAAAAAGAGGAGATTGGCAGCAGATGTTAGCTCAGGGCTAATCTTCCTCAAGAAAAAATAAATAAATAAGAGCCTGGGGAGAGTCAGGTCAAAAACCACCAGAGTTAAGAAAGGGAATGAAGGCCATTAGCAGGGTGGGTGGGGTTAGAGCCATGAAAGATGCAGCCATATTCCAGGAAGATGGGGCCACAGGTAGGTGGAATTTAACTAAGCAGAAGGACATGGGGAAAGCTGCTGGGATGCAGGTCCTGACAGATCTCTGCCTGGCAGAGAATCAGGACCTCAAAAAAATGGGATGGGAGCACTCAATGAGGATGGACCACAGGAGATGTTGGGGGTATTAGGGCTGAAGGATGATTCCACAGAAACCTCTAGATCAGACACACAGATGCTGGTGTGAGGTCTTCCCACAGCCCGAGGGTGGCTGGTACAAGAGAAGGATCAGAGTGCCTTGCACTCCACTCTCTGCAGCAGCCCCAGGACCATCTGCCAAACGCCACCCAACAGGAAAAGACAGGGTGGGGGCGGGCGAAGGAGAGGAGGGGAAGGCTACAGCTGCTGGGAGGGATGGCATACAGAGAAAGGTGCCAGCTGGAGGTGAGAAGTGCTCTAGGCAAAGAGGAGAGATGGGGGTCATGGGGCAGAGACAAGGTATCGGGGGCTTGGGACATCATGAAGGGACCAGGAGGCTGGGGCCATGGTCCCCAGTAGTAACCTCAGCTTGGGCAGCTGTGTAGAAGCTCGAAGAGGAACCAGGGTCAGCGGTAAAAGAGAAGAGGCCTAAGAGGGAACCAGAAGCTCTGAGGTTCTGCCTTGGTCCTGAGGCTGCAAGAGGGTCCAAGATGGCAGAGAAGGAAACCTGGCCCGAGCCCACTGGTGTCCACTGCTGCTGAGGCTATGGGACGCTCGGGTGGGGCAACAGGATTCTTTTCCCCCAAAACCATTGGGAAGGGGGTCCCAGCCTCCACAGACCACCACCCTCCCTTATCCAAGGCCTGAACCAGCCCCCAAACCCATCCCTTTATCACAGCCTGTGTCACTGTCCCCACCTCCCCGCAGCTGCCCCCAAGAGGTGCCCAGGCACAGACTGAACCCTCTCCTAGAACCTGGCTGCTCAACACAGAGGGACCTTAGAGCTTATGAGGAAGCTGACCCAGGGTCACCAGCTGGTAGATAGAGAGCCAGGGCCAAAGCCCAGGGCACCTGCCTCTGTGTGGCCCTCCACCCTTCTTCTCCCCACACCCCCTGCTATTTATGCTCAGGCAAGGGGGACCATCTTCCCCAAAGCCCAGCACAGGGTCCACCACTGAAGGAAAAAATAAATGTTCAAATACAAGAGAAAAGTTCTCTTTTCAGGTTGAAAATGCTGTCCCTGTATCTGACAATTTGAGATTTGATTGATGTGGGGATTTAAAACAATGGCCGAAAATTCTTTGACACTCCTTCCATTGAGAGGTGGCATCTCTGTGCCCTCCCCTTGAATCTGAGCAGGAGTGTCACCCGGCTGCACCTTCAGCTGAAGCAACTCTGCTTCCCCCAAGCCAGCCACCCCACCAGCTGGGAGAGGGAGGGAGGGCAGGTGGCGAAGGCCAGGCTGAGGGTAGTCCTGCTGAGGGTCCCCCAAGGAGCTGGGGTGCCTTCTTTTGTTATGTAAATTAAGCAACTCTCATGGTAAGAGTCAAATTTCATTCTTATCCTGGCTGCCACGGAGCTCAATGTTAAAGTTTGGGCCACATTGCAATAACTAATCTTGGCCTAGGTTTCTAGCACATTTCTTTCCTTCTAGGCATAAAAAATGAAGGGAGCACCTACATCACAGGATTGTTGGGAGGATTCCAAGAAGATATTTACCAGCTTTCAGAACCTACTGATGCTAGGCGTTATGCTAGCTGCTTCAAACAAAACCCTGTGCTGCATTATGACTCCCCTTTTGCAGATGAGGTAATACACCTGCAAACAGAGAGGCCAAGTGATTTGCTCAAAGTCACACAGCAAGTAGATATAGGAAATAGGACTCTGCTCTAGTGCTCTTTTCACAGATCGGAAAGATAACGCATGTGTGACAGCCCCTAAAGCAGTGATGGTTTCCTTCCTTCCATCTTCAGGCTCCCTCAGCCCACCTAGACATCCCTTAGCTGGGGTCCTTCTTACCCAGCAGTGTGACCATCAGTTTACCCCTCTCACTGTGAGCTGGCAAGGTTGGGGACTTCAGTGAATCACCTTTCAAAGCACCCCAGGCAGGACCTAGCTCCCAGTAAATGTTTGTTGGGTGAATGAAAACCACATCACTTGCATCCCATTACTCATTTTAAAGCTCCTTCATTCATCCCACAAATCTCAACTGAGCACCTGCTCTGAAGATCCAGGCACTGCAGTAAATCCTCTGTGGACATAACTTCGTTTAATCCCACCACTTGCCGTGTGTTTGCTGTAGGTCCTGGCATCCACATTTTGTTTTATTTCTTTTTAAGATTGGCCCTGGACTAACATCTGCTGCCAATCTTTTTCTTCTTCTCTCCAAAGCCCCTGGTACATAGTTGTATATTCTAGTTGGAGGTCCTTCGGGTTCTGCTGTGTGGGACACCCCATCCACATTTCTTAATGAAAAGTCTAAAATAGTGCTTCTCAAACTCCAGGGTGCGTCGGAATCTCCCGGAGGGCTCAGTAAACACAGAATGCTGGGCTCCGCCACAGAGTTTGTGATTCAGTAGGTCTGGAGTGGGGCCCGAGAAATTGCATTTCTCATAAACTCCCAAGTGATGCCGATGCTGCCGGCCCATAGTCCACACTGTGAGAACCACAGCTGGTAGGTGGAGATGCCTCAGTCCACCCCCAGGTTTGTCTCAGCCTACCCCCAGGCTCTTACCCAAACTCCCTAGTGCTTCCCAATCTGAGAGCAGGGCAGGTGGCATCAGAGAGGCCTTTGGGTAAGGACTATGGGATGCACAACTTGGGGAGAAATACAGTTGTCCCCTCCACTCTTTCCTGCTCCACATCCCCATGCCCAGGTGGGCCTGCCTGGAGGCTCTGGAGAGTTTGGCTTAGCTGGTCCCGGGATAATGATGACTCCTCTTCAAATCCTTTCCTGGCCGATTCCCACAACTCACGCACTAAGCAGTCACAACTGTGTGTGTATTTGGGGGAAGGCTGTTGTGGTCGACTTGATAACAGCTTCCCAAAGATATCAGGTCTAATCCCAGGTGTCTGTATGAGAGGGAGGCAGCAGGAGATGATCCAGAAGAGGTGGCGATGTGACAAAGGCAGACATTGGAGCGCTGCAGCCAGCAGACGCTGGAGGAGGCAGGAGATGGATCCTCCTCTAGAGGCCCTGGAGGGAGCACGGCTCTGCCCACACCTTGATTTCAGCTCAGCGAAACTGATTGCAGACTTCTGGCCTCCTGAACTGTGAGAGAATGAATTTCTGTTGTTTCAGCTACCGAGTCCGTGGCAACTTGTTACAGCAGCCACAGAAAACTAACACAGCTGGGAGAAGGTGCGGGCTGCCCCTTGTCCCCCTGATCTCACCGACACCTTCACCTTGGCTGCATGCCCATCCTTGGGGAGCTGGGACTGGAGGCCCCGTGGTGGGAAGGATTTGGTCAGGAAGGACCATCTTGTCCTGAGGCGTCTCCAGGAGGCTCCAGAGAGTTGCCAAGGGAAACAGGCAGAGGTAGGAGGAGAAAGGGTGGGAGGTGGGAGACAGGTGGTGTGTTGGAGGTACTGGGGAGGGAAGCGTGGTGTTGGGATTATAGAGGAATGACTAAATGGGGGTCCCTCTGTGTGGGGAAAGGGAAGGGGGAGCCATGTCCACACATGGGGAGGGGCGGCCAGAGGGAGGCCCTGCGGTGTGGAGAAGCTGATGGGGAGGGTCTATGTCCAGCCAGGCCCATCCGGTGGCCTTCGACATCTCAAGGTCAAGGGGATGGTCACAAAGCTGGTCTCCAATCATGTTCTGCAAGTGTTGGGTTGCCACGGCAACCAGGAAGCATGCTCAAGAACCTGAGGCCTCAGACACAGAGTTTTGGGAAGCAGAAACCTGGGCTGATAGCAGAGCCCTAGGAATCAGGGCCCAGCTCCCTCCCCACAAATTACTCCCCACCCCCCACAGTGTCAGTTCTTCAACCTGGGAAACCCCCCAAATGCCCAGTACATTTCCATCAGCATCCCAGGCCCAGGGAAGGCTTGTTACTCTGGCAACAAAGGCTTGAGGCTGGGTTGGTTCTGGGCTTGAAGGAGAGAGGGAGCTGCCGGTGGTGACTGGGGAGCCCAGCAGGAAGTGAAGCTGGTGGAGAAAGAGGCCTTCCACACCAGTGTGCTGCGGCCACAGAAGTGCCTGTGTGCGCAGAGACAGCATCTGCAGTCCCGGGTCCACAGTCCGCGCCTGGAGACAGAGAGAGGGGTAGGAGGAAGTCAAGGTCACTTGGAGGGCCAGAAGTCAGAGGGTTCCTTCCCAACAACAATATCTCTCTCCTCTTTGGGCCTCAGTCTCCTCATCTGTAAAATGGGCGGGGAGGCTATACTAGACCTCTGAGCAACTTCTGTTCCAGACAGTATATTGCCTCCCCCAACACCACACACATACACACACACACACACACACACACGCACACTTCAGGCCTTTGCCGCCAGCCAGCGGCTGGTTGGTGATTGGTCCCCTCCCCTTGGCATCTCCTGCCGCCAGCCCCTTCTTCCTTCCTGTCCATGACTGCCACTTCTCCCCAGGACTCCAGCATCGCCCCTCCCCATTGGCTAAGGCAGCCTCCCCATCTACCCCCCAGCAACCTCTCTCCCAGCCAGCAGCAGCTCAGGATGACTGAGTAGAGACAGCATGCCCACAACAGCCAGGCCCACCAGTCACCACAGGAAGCAGCAGATCTGATGGAGCTTAAAAAGTGGCAGGTCTGAGGTCAAGGATGCTGGCGATCAGCTGCTTCTTGGCAGTAGAGAAAACCCTAGAAGCATAAAGTGGGTGCAGTGAGAGCTGGAGGGGTGGAACAGGTCAGATCCCCTGCCAGGAGCAAGCTCCGTGCTTTGGGAGTCATCCAATGAATGAGGAACTGAGGTAAGATAGGGTACAGGCTCAAATGGAGGAATAGGGGAAGCTGTGGGAGTCCCACCATTCCCGGAAGGCCCCGCCATGGCAGGGAGATCAGCCAGGACATTGGACACCAAGACCAGGGTTCCCAATAGGATCAAGTTCTCCTCTCCCTTCTCCACCCTCAGGCCTGGGGTCCTAGCCCAGGGTGTTCCCCCTCCCCTACTGCAGCCTAGGTGTCCCTCCCCTCTTCCACTTCCAGGACACTGGTCCTCCGTATCCTCCTCCACCTCCTCTCCAGACTCCAGGCCAGCTTCCACCACCCCACTCCCAGCATCATCTCTGCCCCACTTGGTGAGAACCATCCTTGCAGTGAGCCTGGCGCTCCAGAGACCAGCATCCTCTCCTGATTCCCCCCCCCCCCCACCCCAGCCTTTGAAGTTATCAGCTGGGAGGATCAACATGCCTCAGGCCAGGAGGTGTCTCCTTTGTGGTCTGCTCACTGGGCTCATCCACCTGGCCTGTGCACCCAGGAATCCTGCTGGGAAAGTCTCATCTTACAAGACACAGTCACCTGCAAGGGGACAGAGAAGGGGTGGTTATGGCCTGGCAGACAAGGTGACCCCCGACACACACACACACACACACAGGTAAGCATGTGCTTGTTAATAAGTACAGGTCCCACTGAGGAACAGTGTCACACAGTGTCACAGGGCACTATCACTCCACCAGAGGAAATTAGAGTCCCTGGGCCAGGCTCTATGAAGACACCCTTGGTCCTGTAGGAAGCCAATTGCAGTATGAAATCAGGAAGCCAGATGCACCTGCCAGGGAGAGGCGGCAGAAACGTGGGGGGTGGCTACAGGGACAATGGGGCAGCCCAGAAGGCTACTTTGCATAAATTAGAAAAATGTGCCCCTTCCTCAAAGCCCTTTACTTCCATCTGATGGAAAAGTGCCCTAATGGTTCAATACTTCTATGTTGACTACAGAGTTGTGCAGTGTACAACCTGCGCAATGGTAAGGGGTGGCCCTGAGGGATGAGGGGGTCCAAAAGGGAAAGAAGGAGGAAAGGGGTGGCCCTGAGGGATGGGGGGGTCCAAAAGGGAAAGGAGGAGGAAGGACCCACGGGTCCAGTGAAGGAAATGGGGAAAGCAGTGGTCAGTGACAAGAGCCCCAGGCTGAGCAGACCTGTGTCCACTCTAATATCACTAACAGTGGGAACTTGGGGGAGTGACTGAACCCCCCTAAGGCACAATTTACTGATTTGGAAAATGAGGGGGGAGGGCTCAGGGATGGTCTGCCCTTAGGATTAAATGAGATGATCGATGCAAAGCTCGGCTTGTCATGAAACAAGTGCCCCGGATGGTGCAACAAGAACAGTGACAACACACAGAGAGGGAAAGAGACAGACAGTGACAACACACAGAGAGAGGCCGGCTGTTCCCGGGCAGGAGACGGGGTTTCACCGGCTTCTTGAGAGGTCGTTTTAAGTAGAAATTAACTGTCCCGTGGAACCAGTGTCACCAACGGCCCATGTCACCACGGTCAGATGAACCGTGCTGAGCATTTGAGGGCTAGTGCTGTTGGGGCTGCGGGCAGGAGGGGCAGGCCCCGCGGCCGGGGGCTCGGGGGTCGCACAGGGACGCCTCCCTGTTCGCGGACACCGCCACCAGGCCCTCCAGCGCCCCCGCCGCCGCCCGGGCAGGGCCGCCGCCAGCTCCCAGCCCACAGGCCAAGGGAGGCGCGGCCGGAGCGCTGTCCGCGCACCGCAGCGCCACCTGGAGCTCAGGCGCGCGAGGTGACAGGCCGTCCGGTCCCCTAGCTCGGCGGCCGCCCCAATGGCCCCACAGGTCCCAGGCAGCGCCTGGTGCTCTGTGCCCCCGGCCCCTCCCGACCCGCGCCCACCGGACCAGGAGGGAGGTCAGACTAGACCGAGGGCGGAGGCCGGAGAGACTCCGCCTCCCAGAGGCCCCGCCTCTTCAGCCTGGGGCGTTGGGCAGGTGTCCAGACCCCGTGCACTCCCTTCGTTGGTCTCCCTCCTCCCCTTCCTCAGTGACTTCAGGGTAAAGTCCAAATTCCATCTTCCCCCAGATTTATATCCCCTCCCCACCCAAGGCTGGAGCCTGCAACGACCTGAAGTGCCTTCCGTGACCTTCCCCCCTGGGCAGCCTCTAGTGCAGGGGCCCCCACCAAACTCGTGTCAGGTTCAAATAGCAATTCCTAGGCCCCCCTCAAGCTCTGGCTTTGTGGCCAGGAATCTGTATTTTTCACAAGCTCCCAGGCGATTCGGATGTGTCCTGGGCTTCACACTCTGGCAGTCCGTATTCGCAGTCACTGTGACGGTTCTCAGACAGCAGCGGGCTTGTTAAAACATTGCCGGCACGCCCTCAGAGTCTCTGATTCCGTAAGTCTAGGGCAGGGTCTGCGAGTTTGCATTTATACCAATCACCCCCCACAAACACCCACACCCACCCCCACCCTGACCCCGGGCATGCTGATGCTGCTGGTCAGGGACCGTGCTCTGAGAACCACTTCTTCAGTAACACATTTAGGAGAAAAGCTATTCACCTGTTGCCAGTTCACTGGGTACCAAGGCCTGTGCAAAGCACTTCACATTCATACAGCCAGATGAACTAAATATTTACTCTATTTTCCAGAAAAGGAAAGCGAGATTCACACAGGTTTACTCACTTGCTCAAGGCCACACAGTCAGGAAGGCCAGGATTCGAACCCAGGTCTTTCTGAATACAAAAGCTGGGCTGGCACCGCCTACAGTGCACTGCTAGTTATCCCCTCCCAGGGGCTTGGCTTGTTTCTAGAAGTCAACCAGGCACCCTCTGAAGCCTGAGAAGGTGCTGGATAGGGCTTTGAAGCACCCTTCCCACACTGCCCTGGGTTCAGTGCCCCTGCTGGGGGCCAGGTTCTCTGCCCAGAGAGTCCATGAAGAGGGAACAGAGGAGCCACCTCCCCACGTGGTCCTGACCCCTAGTTCCCTCACTCCCACTGCCACTGGGAGTGGAAGGTCCCCTGACTTCTCTCGGATTGGCTCCAGATAGTGTTTCCTGGACAGGTCACTGGGGACTAGGAGAACGGAGGGACGCTCGGGTGCTGCACAAAGAGCAGGATGAAGGCAGGACCGCTGGGTCCTGAGTGGGGAAAGGAGAGGCGGTGCCACACAGGCGCCCGGCCACCAGTCAGTGCGGCCCAGAGGTTTTGCCCAGACAGGTCCGGGTGGAAGCCTGTCCTTAGGGGCAGGGACACACAGGTCAAGCCACAGCTGTGAAGGGGGTGGAGCGTTGAGCAGCAAATCTCAATGGGGCCCTCAGGTGAAGGACAGTGTGGGGAGGAAAATAGCAAATCTAGGTGGGCTGGGAGGGATGAAGAGGGCTCCCACCTGTGACTTCCCACGCCTGTCTCCTTCAGCCCCAGGCTTCTCCTTTGTCACCCCTCTACCCCCACTTCTGTGGTGTGGGCCTGAGACAGCAGGTCAGCAGTCCCTCTGGGCAATGTTTATTCTCCCCTGCCTCTTCCTAGTGGCCCCCAGCTCTGTGCCTCTCCCCACTGAGTTTTAAAGGTCCTTTTGGGGAGGGGAGCACGGCCTGGGAGGGGGAGCACATTCAGGGAGCCAGAGACAGGACCCTAAAGGGAATAAGTCGGAACCCTGAAGCGCGTGCTGAATTCGTTGGGTGGGCAGGCCAGGACCAAGTAGAATATACCCACTGAGTCATCCTTCCCCATCCCAAACATCCACTGAGCACCTGTGCATGCCAGCACTGTGCTGACACAGCCCAGGACTCACAGCTTTGAACAAAGCCCAGGGGATGGGGCGGGGATTCAGGTAAGGCCTCTCTGAGGTAGTTAGAGAGCAGATCTAAAGGAGAATGAGAGCCAGCCAGGTGAAGAATGTGGAGGAGCAACTTTCAAAACAGAAGAATCAGCATTTGCAAAGGCCCAGGGGGAAGAGGAAATAGACTGAAACTAGCCAAGCTCAGTGGAAGTGACAGCGATGACGGGAAACCTGGAGAGACGAGGCCAGGCAGGTGGGCAGGGACCAGAGCCAGGAGCTGAGGTAAGGAGTTTGGATTTCGTCCTAAATGCCACAGGATACCCTGAAAAGATCTTAAATGGAGAAACGATATGCTCCAAGTTACGCTAAGAAGCTCTCTCCAACCCCATAAAAATTTCAAAAACATATCTGCATGGTAAAAAACAACATAAATAACCTCACACCTGTTAGGACGGCTATTATCAGAAAGACAAGAAATAACAGGTGTTGGCGAGGATGTGGAGAAAGGGAACCCTTGTGTACTGTCGGTGGGAATGTAAATTGGTGCAGCCACTGTGGAAACAGTATGGAGTTTCCTCAAAAAATTAAAAATAGAACTGCCACATGATCCAGCAATTTCACTTCTGGGCATTTATCCAAAGAAAACAGAAACACTAACTCAGAAAGATATCTATACCCCCGTGTCCATTGCAGCATTATTTACAACAGCCAAGCCATGGAAGCAACCTAAGTGTCCATCGATGGATGAATGGATAAAGAAAATGGGGTATAAATACACAAGGGAATATTATTCAGCCATAAAAAAACAAGCAAGGAAATCCTGCTATTTGCAACAACACGGCTGGACCTCAAGGTCACACAGAGAAAGACAAATACTGTGGAAGATAAACAACTCATAGATACAGAGAACAGACTGGTGGTTGCCAGAGGTGGGGGGTGAGGGGTGGGCGAAATGAGTGAAAGTGATCAAAAGGCGCAAACTTCCAGTTAAAAAATAAATAAGTCCTGGGGATGTAATGTACGGTATGGTGACTACAAGTAATAATACTATATTGTATATTTGAAAAAATATATATAACAGCTACAACAATTTTTTAAAAGTAGAATAAAGTGAGAGGAATCACTCTACCCAATGTTAGGGCTCACTATAGTCATCAAGACAGTGAGGTGCTGGCAAGGACAGACAAGTGGATCAATGGGACAGAAGAGAGAACCCAGGATTAGACCCACGGACCCATACAAATATGCCTAACTGATTTTGGACAAAGGTGCAAAAGGAATTCAGTGGAGAAAAGATGGCCTTTTCAACACATGGTGCTGGAGCGATTGGACGTCCATAAGGAAAAAAATGAGTTTTGCCCTAAACCTCACACCTTGTACAAAAATTAACTCAAAATGGATCGCAGACTTAAATGTAAAAAGTAAAACTATAAAATACAGAAAAAAAAACAGGAGAAAAATCTTCAGGACCCAGGCCTAGGGGAGGAGTTCTTAAACGCGACACCAAGGGCACAGTCCATAAAAGGAAAATTTGATAAATCAGACCTCA